TGAAAATGTATATGTCAACACCATCTTTCGAATTCCCGGCGTGGGGGTGCAAGCCATTCCACAAAAGGAGAGACTTTCACAATATTCCGAACTGAACGGACGTGACCCTTGCACGCTCCGGGTCATAGCTAGCCGATAGTGTAATGCTGTAACTTAAAGCAAAGAATACATTAATTTAACAGTGTGGTGAATTAGCAGGTGAATAAACGTCAATTGGCTCAACTCTCAGAAAAACGCTTTCTTCGGCATCGCTACCCTGAGACTCATGCAAACCGACCCAGCTAGTTTCCCGTACCTATACCGATCTTCCTTAGTTTGATCTGTGAGAACAACTTCCAGTAGCCATCATACACTGTCCTAAGGTAGAAACAGGTGTAGCAGGGATAGCACCATTCCGACTGCGCCGATACAAGCAAAGGCGGGTTGGAAAAGAGCGGTGTTAAAACTGACCTTCATCACTAGGCACTTACCTCATTCTTGTCTGTGTATACAAATGCTTCGCACCTATGTTACAGATGAAAGCACAGAATTCCTGACTGTCTTCAAATAAGAGTAATATGTATGACTCACCCAAAAGGGACATGTTAACATTTTAAATGCAGATAAAAGTTTAATTATCCGTGTGCTTATCATCACGCCTTGAAAGCATGCAAAGAGCTTGGATATTAAAGCTCCTTACTTTATGAAAGTACTTTATGCTACATCTGTCTTTACCTCCTAAAGAGAAGTCTCAGTGTTCATTGTTGATATTCAGTAGGTCTCAGAACCCTCCTGAACATATAGGTAGGCCGCACACTGGCATGCATCAAGACATGTAACAGTCAATACATGATGCTGATGTCATGACTCAGACCAGTGTGCAGCATTTCAACTGTGCTCCTTTTTTTGCATCATGTCACAGACATCATGTCTTGACTGTTACATGTCTTGATGCATGCCAGTGTGCAGCCTACCATAAACTTTAAGTTTAAGAGTAAAATTCCATTTCCTCTGCAAGTAATCAAATCTAGGTGAGCCAACAAAGAACCCAGTAGTGCTCACGTAATCATTAGTGATAAAAACAATTCCTTGTAAGTCTACATATAACTTTAAAAGCCTTTACAACGTATTTAAATGTACCTCAGCCCAATTATTACAAATCAGAATGTTTCTAATTATGTTATCAATGTTTGTCAGCACAAGGCATTCCTCATAAGGCTATTATTAAGATGAATACGTTCTGTACTGTTTGTTTTGGAAGTCTTTGCTTTTTACATATGCCTCATTTATTGTTTTTGTCAAAGGAAACATCCAGTTTGTCACAGTTTTTATCCACATTCTCCAGTGCCTCATGCATTAAATATGTTTACTATTCAAAACTAAAAGCTGACAAATATGACCTACATATAAAGGTTCATGAATAATTACCCTATGATTTAGCTTTTAATATTAATAGGGTATGGCCGGTCATAATTAGGTGATACATTTAAGTTTTTCTTTCAGAAAAGTAAGCTGAAGCACATATAGTACAGTTGATTTGATCACAGAATACAGAAGATGTACTTTTTTAGTCAAAATTGATTGATGAAAGCAGTTGTTTTGTACTGTAGTTTGACTGTACAGATATGCAATAATCTGATTGCCTTTTTTCGGTAGCGGTGCAGGCAGCAAGCAAGACACTCATGGACTCCCTGAATGAAATCTATGAAAGTAACTGGGTTGGCCATGACCTTCTATATGTACAAGCACAGAATATTGAGATGCTTTGGCAGGACTTCAGTCACAAGCTTGGTGACCAAGTTCTCATCCCGCTCAACACGTACCAGAGCCAGTTCCCAGAAATGAGGGTATGTAATATTGTGTGACCAGCGAGTAAAATCAGCACTGCAATTAGATTAATAGTTTTCATTGTTCATGGTGTTTACATGTAGCAGTTTCAGGTTCTATGGACTCACAGATGTATTGTTTTTGTGGCCTTCAGAATATGTTTCATTACCGTGGCTACTGTGGAAACATACCCATTGTCATCACTGTCCCAGTGCTTATCTTCTGGTGGGGAGAGAATGTGGAAAGTAATTAACTTGGACTCGAACCCATCCATGTAACAGAAAAATCAATCAGTTTTCCTACTTTTCAATCCTAAAACAATCACTTCTTGTGTAATGTGCCTAATATGAAGAAAATGATTTTTGGAGATTACTGCCTTTTGGGATGAGACAATCCATACGGTGTCAGGGATATACCAACCTTTTGAAGGAGCCTCCATATTCTACCTTGAAGATGGAGGCAGCAGGTTTCTCTGAAACGTTACCTTTCTATCAAGCAACATGGTATCACATACCAGAAGACAATAATCTTAACTTTTACTGTGAGAGAACATCAAATCTCACTCATTTAACTAATTCCATGGAGCTTAGTCCCTTCTTGTGAAGCAACCGGTTTCACAGATACTCAACAATTTCCCAACTTTTCATGGAACCTAAAAGGCCCATTACCATGTTCACAGTAGCCCTCCTATGGTCCCTATCCTGAGCTAGATAAATCCAGTCCATACCACCCCATCCTCTCTCTCTAAGATCCATTTTAATATTATCCACCCATCTAAATCTGGGTATTCCTTCTGGCTTTCACACCAATATCCTATATGCATTTATCTTCACATCCATTCGTGCTATATGCCCTGCCAATCTCATCCTCCTTGGCTTGATCATTCTAATTATACTTGGAGAAGAGTACAAGTTATGAAGCTCCTCGTTATGCAGTTTTCTCCAACCTCCTGTCACTTCATCCCTCTTCAGTCCAAATATTCTCCTCAACACCCTGTTCTCAAATACCCTCAGTCTTTGTTACTTTCTTAATGTCAGACCAAGTTTCACACCCATACAGAAACAAAGGTAAAGTGATAGTTTTGTATAATCTAATTTTTACGTTTTTAGACAGCAGACAAGAAGACTAATTGTTCCTGACTGGATGGTAACAATCATTGCCCAAATTTTCTCCTGTTAATTTTCTCCTGAATTAAATTTTGATCTTAACTGTCTTTATGTTATGATTTTGCCCTGCATTTTGGTTACGAGACAGCAACATATACATAGTTTTCTCTGCATTTACTTCTAGACCAATCTCCTTATTAGTGTCAGTTAAAGATTCTCTGTTTTTCCCAGTAAATTTATATCATCAGCATAGGCCAGTAACCGATGTTTCCCTTTTAATTTCAGTCCCACCTGGTTTTCCTGGACCTTCTTAATGGCATATTCTAAAACAAAGTTGAAAAGCAACGGCAATAAAGCATCTCCTTGTTTTAGACCATTTATAATAGGAAACTTATCAGACAAATGTCATAAAGTCATTTATATATCAAAATTTAAATACTGAACACTTATAATATAAAACTTGGTATATACTGGTGAAAAAATAAACTAGTCTTGCAAGTTACACAGGTTCCTTATTCCTTGTAGAACCATTATGTAGATAGTGTAGCATACCTCGGAAGGGACAGTGGGACGGATGCATACAGAAATGTTATCTGAAATCTGTAAGAGAACAGACCACCTGGCACATATACATAAAAATGGGAAGAAACTATTAAAATGTATGTTAGAGGAAGTGGGTGTAAATATATGGACTAGGTTTGGATAATTTCTTGTAGGTTTCATATTTCGTAGTTGAAAATCGTCATTATGATGTGTCTTTGAATTTATTGCAGAAAAAAATTGACAAACGTGGTCGCAAATTAGTGGATTATGACAGCCAGCGTCACAACTTCCAGTCACTACAAGGCAATCCAAAGAAGAGGGATGAAATCAAGGTGACAAAGGCAAGAGAATCACTGGAAGAAGCTAAAAGAACGTATGAATTGTTGAACTCGGAACTACATGACGAACTGCCAGCACTGTACGACTCAAGGGTGCTCTTCTTAGTGACTAATCTCCAGACTTTATTTGCTGCAGAACAAGTCTTCCATGTGGAAACAGCAAAGGTAATTCTCTGTCCCTACAGAAACTGTTTAACTTCCACTGTACAAGCCCTGTTGGCTAAGCTTAATAGTAGACTGCTACAGTTTACCACAGTCATGATGTCATCTAGTCACTGAATATTGTGAAGATAAGAGTGTGTCTTTCACTGCAGATATTGTGGGCCATTAAGTCATGTCTTCTGCTATAAGTTAAGGAACAGCAGCTCCTACCAGGTTGTTGCCATTAATCATTACTAACTTAGATAGACTTGAAAGGATTCTGACAGTGGTGTATTCATTCATTCATCAGTAATCTGTCAGACAACAGGTCCACAGTCTCTTCCAAAATAGTTCCTCCACTTAATGCGATCTTCTGTTTTCGGAAAGAGACTACTCAGAAAAAGTGATAATGTGGTAGTTTTTCCATTTGCTTTCCACATCGCAGTACAACAGCCGTTCAAACCACTCTGGTCACGCCTGTTGCTATACGAACTTGAACCATCTCGAGCATCATTTGCTCTGTGCTTCAAGTCGCTGCTGATGACGCTGCTTCAGGCATCAGTTTTTGGTTTTTGGTGTCTCTCTTCATCTGATGCCTACCCTTTGACCTGTCTAGCAAGGGAGGCCTTGCCAGTAGCTACCGCTGGTATAGCTCTCAGGGTCCTTGGCTTACTGAAACCCCCACACCACAATAAGATGAGGAAAAAGAAATGATGAAAAATCCATAAAAACACAGACTGACCAAAGGAGATTTGAATGACGATGATGATTCAACTAAGTTACTAATACTTCTTTTGGCTTGTTTTGGACTTCATCCATCATCTGGTATGTAAAAGACAAAAGACCACGATGTTTTGGAGACTGGATCTGTCTCCGTCTTGAGGTGGGTGGGGAAGCGTAAACCTACTCAGTTATTCTTATCTCCCACTGATGGAACCGGATGTCGGGTGTTCATAGGATGTTTTCTACATACCAAGGTTTGTCCGGTGATTGAGACTAGCTCTTTCTAACGGGCCCAACTGAGTAGGTCTATCCTTCCCCGCCCATCTGAAGATGGAGACAGATCCAGTCTCCGAAACATGAAGTCCAGAACAAGCCAGAAGAAGTATTTGTAACTTAGTTGAATCATCATCGTCATTCAAATCTCCTTTGGTCAGTCTGTGTTTTTATGGATTTTTCATCGTTTCTTTTTCCTCATGGTCTGTAAGTTGGCACCCTTTCTGAGATACAATGTTCTCCTTATTTCTACAGTCTAAAATTCTATCTGTAATACTGTAACATCTTCACTCGTCTTTTGTTTTTGGAGTGTAATTCCAGCTGCTGATAGCATAAGACACAAGTCTGCTGTTAGTACTTGTTGTTACTCTTATAATTTAGACGCACTTGCAGGATACAGTTGTCTTCGAATATCCCTATAGAGTTTCATTTTCAGGGCTATTCTTATTATGTCATTTGATCTGTTGCATCTTATTACTTCTTTTTTTTATATATCTTTCTTAGTATGGTATCTGATACCCTATATTCATTGACTTTTCTGTTATTCGATTCTGTATTATAATTTTTGTTCCTTGTAAGGTCGTTTGTTTTGTTTTCATTTTTGAGATTTCAGTCTATAATCTCAAATTATAAAATGTGTAGTAAACAATGTAATGATTCAGGAAAGATTTCCGTCTAGTGTGATGTGACACTGCATAGTCTGGTAAGTAGGTACCACCATCTGTGTTCCACGCTGAAGATGGTAGCAGCATTTTCCTCCGAAACATCAGTAACTATAGTCCATTTGAAACTTCCTTGAGGGATTATCATGTCCTGAGTTGGCAACTATACAGAAGCATAAAGATATGGGAATAAACAATCACCTACTTTCCATTCACTACTGACCGCCTCTGTGGTCTAGTGGTCAGAATTATTGGCTACAGATCCACAGGTCCCGGGTTCGATTCCCGGCGCTACCAGATTTTCTGAGAAGTAGTGGGTCTGGAATGGGGTCGATTGAGCCACGTGAGGATAATTGAGGAGCTATTTCAAGGAAATAGCGGCTCCGATCTAGAAAACCGAAATTAATGGCCGTGGGGATCCATTGCACTGACCACGCAACACCCTGTATCTGCAAAAGTTGGCACTAACTTTCCCGACAAGCATCGGTTGCTAGGTCAGTATAGTTCGCTTGCGGACTCAAGCCACGAAGTTTGTTTTACACATTGAGTATTTGATATGACAGACCACATAGAAGATGCTGCATCCAGCAGTTCTTCTATTGTTGCATGTGTATTCGTTGCTGCAGGAATGTGTTTACTGAGTCACTGCCGAGCAATATCCATCTCTTCTGCCTCTGCTCTTCTGGCTTTCAGGCATTGGGCATGCAGTAAGGTGATCTTGTAAACCTTTTTTTTTTTTTTAAATAAGTAAAGTAAACTGAAAAAGTCATGTGCATTCAACAGGATTTCTGATATGTTAACTTTGGTTCCCATTGTGAGTTGAAAACAGAATATAGCAACTTTCTAATTACATGACAATCTGCGTCACTCTCTGATAATGATGCATCCCTGAAGATGTTATGTAGAGGCAGTACCTGATGTCACATCCCAAAAGATAATCACTTTCACAGTCTCCACTGTGAGAACCTCATATCTTGCAAGAATTCAGTAGTCTTAGTAATGCAGTGTTGGCTATTCATGCTCTGACAAGTTTATTTTTCTCTTTGTGGGATCATCGTAAGAGCATTATTTTCAACAAAAAGCCAGAGATGAATATTGGCCTGAAGGAGAACATCAGAACAGTCTGTACCAAAGCTCTTAGGAAGGTGTTAACCATTATCTCTACTTCCTTAAACAACAGACTCAACGTATGTAACAAGTTGTATGTCATGCGATTTAACCATCCATATCAGTGGCTCTCAGCCTTAGGAAGATCAGCCTTTGTGCTATGTATAAAGTGTCAAGAAATTGCAATAACAAAGACAAAACTTCTGCATAAAAGCTATAAGTTGGAGAAAAATTTGTAATTTCAGTAGAAAATATTTTAAGATATTACTCTCTTATATGTTAATAGAATTCTTTCATTTAATTTTCATTTCAAATTTATAGTAAACTGTACAGACAAATTTTTACTTTTCATGCCTTATTTATTTGAACATTAGAGTTTGTGACTTCTTTCGGAAGATGTCATTAACTGATGTAGATATAATTAATTTTCAAGGTGTAAGATTAACTGTTACATAGACTTAAAAAAGTTCTTAATTTTCTTTAACTGTAGACTGTGGTCCAATCATAAACAGTAATCATTAGGTGGTGTACACAGATCAGTTAAAAATATCTTTTCTGTCATGCAAATATTGTTAAAACATAAAAAAAAACATATATCAGTTCAGAGGGAATGGTAAATTAAATCAGCTACATGGTTATAATTAAAAATTGACAGTACCTGTCTCATTACAAACATTCACTTTCACTGCTAACTTAAGACATATTTATGAAATAGATATATAAGTAAGATAGGGGCTAGCTCTGTCAATTGGGCCAAACTGACTATGTTTTACCTGAAGACGGAGATAGAAACCATCTCAAAAATATTGTTTTTAAGTATAAACAGGACAGTGGATAATGTCCAGAAACATAATATATGTACAAATGTGTCTAGTTTGAATCTTACTGTTTAACTTTGGCACTTCACATTCATATGCTATACATATCTGTTCCATGTACACTCTGTCCTGGTCAATCTAACCTAACCCACAACCACACTAAAATAATTGTTTTTATTTCATTTATAACTAAATATTAACTTCCAGTAATTTGATTTTCCAATGGGCGTGCAGTATCATAGTTGGTTGAGGCACTATGCTATAAGCTGGAAGGTTGTGGGTTTGAGTTCTGATGAGATGGATTTTTTTCCAATTTACCTAATCCTTCCAGCTGCATTGTGGGGTTGTGGTTGACTCAGCCTATTACAGGAATGAGTACCAGGAATCTTCCTAGGGTGTAAAGGGTGGCTGGCACATAAGGGGGACAACCTTACCACTATCTGTGAGCCGATTATCTAGAGAAAATATGGGAACCTCGACATCTCACAACCCTATAGGCCTTCATGGCCTATTACAAGGATATCTTTACTTTTTGACTTATTTGATTTTCCCAATATTTCAAATGATCTTTAGAGTTACAGTTGAGAGCCACTGACATATTAAGTTGTTAATATTAAAGCCCATTTGGCACTGTAGTGTTTTGTATGTACTGTATGTGTTAATGAGTTAGAATATGATATTTTCACATAGCTTGCATACCATTTCAATACTTTGTACTGTATTTAGTAAGTACCATACAGTTACAGCGCAACATATTTTTGGCAGCCCTTCATGCTTCTACCCTTAAAGGGCCATCATTTGGGGTACAGTTCTTATTAATACTGTAGTACAGTCATAAAAGGGTTTTATTATTACTCCCTCATCAAAAAAATTACACATCTTATAAGAAATGTATTCTGTCCTACTTATGTCATCATGATAGAACCAATCTGGAAACATTAAAATTCTTTTACATTTTATGTACAGTCCATAATTCAGGAAAAAAAAAAACACTCTTTGTGTTTTGTCCCTTAGACAGCCTCAGTGTGAAAGGACAAAACATAAAAAGTGTTTTTATGGGCTAAGTATATGTCTAAAAATTTTAATAAAATTTGTTTTTGTGACTTAAGAACTGTGTTTAATCTATGAGGATTTTAATGTTTCTGTACTGGTAATAGACATATTAAAACATTTCAGTTTTATTGATTGTAAAATTTTTAAGATATGGAAGTAATAATGTGGGGAACTTTGAATGATTGTGCTGAAATGTGTATGAAATGTTCACCTCTTTTGTTGATCCTTTAAAAGACAAAACATATTGGATTGTTCAAAATGTTTTATGTTATAACTAGACTGTACTTATTTAAATATAGTGGAATATAATGTATTGTACTGCATCCTTTTTTAATTTGTTTGGTATTATCAGGTATATGCAGAGCTGGAAGCCATAGTAGACAAACTGGCCACAGATTGCCAACGTGGTACATACACTCTCAAGAAAAGCTCACCCAAGTCTCCCAAAACTCCGACCAGCAATAGCAAGTAAGTATCATGATTCTTGTTGACTTGTCTCCCCCGCTTGTAACTCATTTGTTATTGATCTGTCTAGACTTCTGAATTAATTTCCATAAGCAGGACAATGATGTAATAATGTTCATGATACGTTCCTATGGTAACAGCAGGGAATAGCAGTGATGTGTAAGCTGACTGCATAAAGAAGACATTAAGTAAATTGAAGGGACTGAGAAAGTTGGCTCAAGCATTATTGCTTCTAACTTGTATTCAGAAGGTGGCTGGTTTGAATCTTGACTGGGACACCAATTATCCTGATTGAGGCTTTTTGTCATTTTCCTCAGTCCCTCCAGACAGTTGCCAGTTTAGTATCTTGAAATAGGCCATGACTGAGTTATATTCAGGAGGTACCTGGTTCAGATCTCATCCACAAATGCTGACCATACAGATAGAGCTTCTTCATGGTTTCCCTCAGTCCCACCAAGCAAATCTCATTTTAATATCTTGAAACAGGCCATGACCACTTCCTTCCACATCCTTTCCAATTTATCACTCATTATAATCTTACTTGGGGTGGGGGGCTATGCAGTAGACTAGTTGCTTGAGGCACTATGCTACAGGTCGGAAGGTTGTGGGTTCGATTCCCAGTGAGGTCATTAGATTTTTCAGATGACTTAAACCTTCCCTGGGCTAGACTCAGCCTCTAACAATTATGAGTACCAGAAATCTTCTTAGGGGTAAAGGGCAGTTGACACATAAGGCTAACAATCTCACCACCATCTGTGAGCCAGTTGTCTGGAAAATGTAGGAGCTTCAGCATCTCACAACCCTCTGGGCCTCCACAGACTTACAGGGATAGCTTTACTGTTTATCTTTTTTTTTATCATGTTACCATTTGATTGCATGTAGTCAGAGCTACTCAAAGCATCATTAAACCAAACACAAATGGAGATGAAAGAAAAGGTTTTTTTTAAATCTTTGTGGGAAGGGTTAATCCTGATTGTTTGAAGTGTTTCAGAAACATCATTATGAACGTGTTATGTTTAAAGATAATTTTTTGAATGAAATACAGTGAACACCTGTTCACACGTTCATGTCCTGGGCTTGCCACTTTTCTGATTATAATTAGATGTGTTTAATTTGAGATTATCTGGCAGTGGTATTGAAGAATATGAAGATGTTTTGGAGAAACATATTTCCCCCCTCTTTAATTTCAAAGAATAAACCAAGCAAGAGACCAGCAGAAGCAAGCAGCAAAGCTCAGCTTGTCACCCATATCTGCTGGTCTCTTGCTTGGTTTATTCTTTGACTCTGATGATCTGGGCATGACAAGTCTTCTGAAACATCAGTGAACTTGTACTGGACTGCACCATGTCATAACCCAAAATCTAATGCACTTCATAACCATTGCCATGAGACCCTAAAATCCTACATATTGTATTTCTGTTTTATTTCAAATTTTGTGTCCTAACAAATAAATATTTGTAATGCTTATGTTGCAGAATAATTTCAAGTGCACCATCCTCTCCCACGTCAGTAGTGGGTAAGTAGCACTCTGTATTGACACATGTTACAGTAGCCTTTGAGTGCAGTAGTGTAGCTAGTAACATGAATGTAATAGAGTGTGCATGTAAGGCTGGCTGCATATCTGCTATGTCTCCATTTTCTTCTGTTTTGAAGTGTTAATTATGTGGCAGGAGAAATGTTTAACATTTTTATGTACCGTATATTAAATAATTTAAAATGATATATGGTAAGTGTTGTATTTTAGCGTCCTGTTGCACTGATTCATGTCCATGATGTGTATGTATTGACCGTCTTCTAGTGCACACAATCTCACTTGTCACTTCACTACATGTCGGCATCACTGTGCCATCCTCAGGTGTGTTATTTACGTTAAACTATTGCACTGCTCGCCATCATATGTCATTTATAAAATGATTTAAATATACAAAATATAGGAAGAATGACTCGCATAGAGGAAGACTGATATAATACGCGAGTTTGAAATACGACATATAAGATGATAAATCTTAACAAAATTTTAATATATAAATTTTATTATAGTACATGACGATTATACATTTTAAATAATTTTATAAATGACACATGATGGCGAGCAGTGCAATAGTTTAACGTAAATAACACACCTGAGGATGGCACAGTGATGCTGAAACATGTAGTGAAGCGACAAGTGAGATTGTGTGCACTAGAAGACGGTCAATACATACACATCATGGATATGGTAAGTGTATGATAGTGTTAAAACTTAGCAGTATCCTCGTACTTACTGGCTTATGAGCAGATTGAGTCTTGAACTTGAAAGAATCCTTCTCAGACAGTCACGAGTGTCAGAATGGAGTTAGTGTCCGATGTTTTTGGAGTCTCTTTCTGTCTCCATCATAGGGGTTGATATGATGAGTATCATGTCCATATTTGTATCTACATAGGTAAGTCAAAATGGGTCAGGTTTGTTCAAGAATCTGGAATTTGGTCAGTGAGGATTTAGAACACAACTGAAACCAGTCAGATTTAAATCCCATTGGAAGACAGTTTAAACAGCCAGCTTAGGCACATTTCCTGTTTCAAATTTCAGGAAGTACTTCTGTTTATGATTGCACTGGTGCTGGTGTGTATAAACAAAATACCCTTGTAGCATACAGACCTATTTACTTGGGATTATGAGACTCCAAAACGAGTGTTGCTTTGAATTGTAAATTTCTTAGGTTCATATATTCTCTTATTATTTAAAGTATAAAGGCTGTCTGAACTGCATTACTGCGTCAGTATGCTAATCGTGGAGTGTATGAGTATAGTGACTTGTAACTACAGGATCATTCTGTTTATACAAAGCTTTCAAAAAATAAGTATGCTAGTCTTAACTCTTGTATGCAGGGGTGTAATTCTAAAAGTAAAAGTACCAGGGTCGTCCAGTGTGCAGTTCATATTAAGAAATTTATATAAATCAAGACTTGAAGCCATTCTCATTGTTACCTAATAATAAGGCCAATAGCTCAAGCGGTTAGTTGCTGGCTTCCCACCATGGTGGCCCGGGTTCAATCCTGGGTCTGGTCAAGTGGGATTTGTGATGGACAAAATGGTGCTGGGGCGGGTTTCCTCCGAATACTTCGGTTTCCCCTGCTAATCTTCATTCCACCAAAATTCTCCATCATCATAATCACCCGGGGCAGGCTACAATAGGCCAATCAGTGGCCGCCATGCCGAGTGGACCCAGTTGGACTAAGTGAATTAAAAAAAAAATTCTTAAAGAGGCTGATGTTTCCACATCAGAGGTTGGAAATTAGAGAGGCTCTGAGGACTTTATGTTTCACATCAGTGTCTTAAAAATAAATGCTAATGCACTGCCTCAATGCTCAAAACAGCACCAGAACACCACATTGGACATCCCTGGCTTGACTGAATCCCTGCTTTATGTAAATTGTCTTTCAGATATTCAAATGAAACCATCCCCTTTCCTGTTTTGTAACAGCAAAATGCTTTTCATAATGTTTTAAGAACTAATCTCAGCTTTTTGTGTTAAATAGTTCGTATAAACTGAGAAAGATTTTTTTATTGGTCTGTTCAAACAAAATGTTTTTGTTCCCATTTTTATAGCTTTATAAGAAAAATACTTTTAATATTTATTACAAGAAAAATACTTTTAATATTTATTACGTGAGGGCAGCACATGCTCACAAAATGATGCCATGTTATAATAAATATGAGCTGTGTGGAAGAAGACGGGCCATTGCTATCTGTCATAGTATTGCTCTTCACGGGGACCATCACATGAAAATGAAGTGGTACTTGTTACATGCATGACTTGTTCCAGGCAGAATTACTTCCAAAGAGACTACTTGGTTGAAATAATTTTCTTTATGTTGGAGCTTGGGGGTCAGTATAGCTCATTTGGTGTAGCAACTAGGCTATGGGGCTGGACAACTCAGAAGATGGGGTTCAGTTCTTGGTAGGCGCAAGAGATTTCTTACTTTTCTATAATGTACAGACTAGCCCTGGGGCCTGCTCAGCTTCCTATCCAAAGGAAACTGGAAACTAAGCGTTAAAACTGAATATTATAGAAGTGCATAGAGAACAGATTCAGTAGACAGTGTTACTTGTTTTAATTGGAATTCAGAAGGCATGTTTTTGCCACTTCAGTATGCTAAAGCGTCACATTTAATACATGATGATATGTAATAAACATATAATAATAATATTATATTTAAGCATCCTGTTGCACTCTATATGGTATATGATTTAAGTGCAACAATTTATTGTAGGTCTTTCGTCTTGCTTTCTTTTACACTACATGTTTCGGCCGCAAACAGCCATCATCAAGTGTATACACTCACGTAGCTGTTACACTGCACTTAGTTTAAAATTTAAAACACCGGTCTTCCCAATTGTTCCCTTCGTCGTTGCTAACAGACTCTACTTCGCTGATATTTGTCTGATTCGTACATTATCTTGTTACCTACACACGTCAGTTTTGACTTTCATGAACTGGCACTTTAAATCTTCAGTTCCAATTTTAAAAATTCCTTTAAAATTTTTTCTAAATTTTAAAATTTAAAATTCTCAGGGTTACTTGCCCTGTAGGCTCCTTGTGTGCATGCCGCTGCTTATCTTTACTACATGTAAAGTACATAGTACTATGTAGTAAAGATAAGTAGCGGCACGCACACAGGGAGCCTACACAGAATAACACCTGTACAGTGCTGAAAACAAGCAGTAGCTGCTGCAGCACTATAGACATAGGGAGAGTAACCCTGAGAATTTTAAATTTTAAAATTTAGAAAAAATTTTAACAGAATTTTTAAAATTTTAACTGAAGATTTAAAAGTGCCAGTTCATGAAAGTGAGAGTAACCCTGAGAATTTTAAATTTTAAAATTTAGAAAAAATTTTAACAGAATTTTTAAAATTTTAACTGAAGATTTAAAAGTGGCAGTTCATGAAAGTAAAATTGACGCGTGTAGGTAACAAAGATAATGTACGAATCAGACAAATATCAGCGAAGTAGAGTCTGTTAGCAACGACGAAAGGAACGATTGGGAAGACCGGTGTTTAGAAATTTTAAACTAAGTGCAGTGTAACAGCTATGTGAGTGTATACACCTGATGATGGCCATTTGCGGCCGAAACATGTAGTGCAAAAGAAAGCAAGACGAAAGACCTACAATAAATTGTTGCACTTAAGACGGAGTTTATATCATATATCATATGGTAATAAGTTAAATTTATTTTCATATGACACATATTTAAGCACCACTACAAACCTACAGTACAGACATATGAAGTGTTATTGTATTTTAGTTATTTAAAAACGTCTAAAAACCATGTTATTAAAGCACCTTACATGCCTCTCTTTATATTACATTGGGCTTTAAACAGTATCACATAATGTAAAGGGTTCTCAGTCTTTTTATTTACCATAAATATCATGCAAACCTCATAAATGTCCTCATTTATTCTGAATATGAAAAATCTTGTGAAGATAACATAATATAATAATCATGATAAAACTAAGTATTCATAATTCTTTGTTGAGCAGACCAGTATGTTGAAATGCATGTGTTGACAGTTTTGATATGGGTGTGTCTTTCTGTGTTGTGTGTTGCAGCTGATGATAACCCCACAACCCCTACTACATCCCAACCTAACTCTGACCTTGCCATCACATCTACCACAACCTCTACTACCACAACTACTACTGACAATAAACCATCGGCAGGTTCACCAAAGCTCTCATCCCCCCCTGGGGCCCAGATAAATGGTAACGTTAAACCTCCAAGTCCAGGGTCACCCAATAACAACAAACATGTTGAAGAACTGTATGATATACCAGTGGGTGAGTACGCAGGCAATCAAGATGGCTGCACTGTCATGTTGTCTTCTCTAGCACAACATGACATCAATTTCCTCTCCTTATTTATAAAATGTAGCTTTTATATCTTATTGCAATTACACAATTATGCATGGCTTAAACTGCACTGTGTGGGTGGCACTTTCAAGAAATATCTCAAGTTAAAGCTTGCCTTGTTTTATTGGTATTATTAATTGATGATGATATCAGTGTCTTTGACTACATAAACCTTGAATGGTAGAAATATGTGTGAATAAATTGGGATATATATTTAGAAAGAAGCAGTGATGACCTAATCCCAGCAATTGCCTGGAAGGACTGAAGAAAACCAATAGAAACCTCAGTTTGGATAGCCAGTGTCCTAGCTAAGATTTGAACGAAGCTCCACCCGAATAAAATTCTAGAGCATTACTGCTACACAATCCTACACAGTAACTTGCCTTTTCAAACATTAAGTATTGTATTGTTAAAAAAGAAAAATAGTTTACTGTATTAAATCTTTTAGCTTCATTCTCATTATATAGGATTGTTCTCTGGAATTTGTTCGGTGAGATGTGTCCTGTGCCCTGTTGTGGTCTGATTATAAAAACCATCCAACCTCTGAACAAAATGGTTGAAACTGTGATACCCATATAGGGCAGTTGTTCTGTGAAGCACATGCTTTCATTATGATACTCTTTAGCTTGCATTTATGTTATGGTTTAGAATTTCTCTCTACTTGGCAGTGTTATGTTCAGACTGTGATATTTTAACATCTTTTAGACTAATCTGACAAGCTTTCAGTGATCTAAATTAGTTTCTTTATATATAATTCAGTTACAGTAATTTGCTGGAAACTTTGTTTTTCCTTTCCTTATCACCCTGTTTTTGCTAAAAAGAGATTAATCAGGCCATCTTGTAGTTGTAAGTAAGTTTGAAATATTTTGTGTTGCTTATTTTCTGATATTTAACATAATTCAAGCCACATTTATCATTCTGTTTAAATTTTATCCAGTGTAAAAAATTAAGTACATTTAAGTATTTTATAAATACATTGCAACATTGACATTCTCCTTTACATAATTACAGAAAAATGTGGGACTAAATATATATGTGCTTTGATGTTGATTGTACATTGCTGAAGACTAGAAAATTGCTTTAAAATTGAACATACTTCTTCTTAAAATTCTGAACCACAGAATTGTCCAATTCTCCTTAAGACTGAGAAGCTGTATGACTAACTTAAGTTAAATGGCTGCATCATTTATATTTCATAAATAATGCATTTGTAAATTCAATCAGGTGAGAAAGAAAAGAGCAGTTACTTACCAGAGCAAGGGCCTACAGAGACTCAGATGACAGGAGATCACAAGACATTTGAATCATGTGGTGAGGAAATTATAGTGTACTCAGAAATAACATATTTGATATAAACTTGTGCCGAAGCCAGCATAACATATGCATTCAAGGAAGAAGTAATACAGAGTGTGATCTCCTGGTTTATAATGCCATGTAATTTTGAGAGAGGCTGATGTTTTGAAGCAACATATCACCTTTATCTTAATGGTCAGCAAGTCATGCAAGAAACCAGCAGAAGCAAGTTGAGTTTGTCTACTTAACTACCTGCATTTCCTCTTCAACCCTAATGATGGTGATGATATGTTCTTCCAAAACATAGAGCTATTTCTGAACTACACAGCATTATGCCACCAGAGAACTGGCTGTAGTTACAGCCATGAGAACCTCAAATCTGACAAAGAAATAATGCAGTTTTGAATATTACTGCAGCATAAAAACAGGAACTGTAAAAGCATTTCTAAAGTTTACTGCTTCCCTTATAATTACGCTTTTGTTGTATATCATTTTTTACTGCCTCACTGTTATGTCAATAAAGAGCACTCTATAACATTACAGAAGTAATTCAAACTTACTGTCTGATGGTAGGTTCTGGCAAAGCTTTCCGGATATACTTAATTACAGAAATCTTATAAGCACTTAATGCTATATCTAAGTTTTACTGGTTAATGATGAGGAAATCAGGAAGGTTGGCACACAGAATCTGTATGACTCATTGGAAAGGAAAGAAATGCATATCCTGAATGTGAAGGAAGTTCCATTGGTAGGCCGATGAGGTGATTGTGACAGATGTGTGAGTTCTCAAACAGCAAGACACCTTAAACAGTATACAGTGAATCTGCAGTCAAGGTTTCTTTGGGAAGCAGTGGATTCGAACACTAAACTTTGTGGGGGGGAGCTTAAATATGAATAATTTATCATTGTAAGTAAAAAAAAAAAATTCAAGGTATCCCTGTAACAGACCATGGAGGTCCATAGGGTTGTGAGATGTTGAGGTTCCCACATTTTCTAGACAGTCGGCTCATAGATGGCAGCAAGGTTGTCAGCCCTATGCTCCGGCCGCCCTTTTTTTTTTCTTGGCAGTACAGCCCCAGTGGGCCTAGGCCTACCTCCATGAACTTCTCCGTTCACTTCGGTTTTTCTAGATCTTAGACATACGGTAGGACTCCTTGGGCAGGTGATCAGCTCATCGCAAGGCCTCTACCTGTACACAAACACAGAAAAACGTACACAAACATCCATGCCCTGAGTGAGATTCGAACCCATGATCCCGGCTTCCGAGCGAAGACAGTGCACGCCTTAGACCGCTCAGCTACCTTGACCGGCCTGGCTGCCCTTTACCCCCAAGAATATTCCCAGAATATTCCTGGTACTCATTTCTGTTAGAGGCTAAGTCGACCCCACGGCCATAGTGTGGCTGGAAGGATTAGGTCAATTGAAAAACTCAAATGACCTCATTGGGACTTGAACCGGCGACCTTCTGGCTTGTAGCATAGTGCCTCAACCAAGTACACTACTGCGTGCCCCCAATTTATCATTGAGGTTATTGAATTTACACCATTATAAATGAATGTTAACTAAGTGAAATCCTTGAAACAAGGAACATTAAATGTGGGTTCCATTGTATTTATTGCTGAAGGAAAGATGTCTACAAGAGCAAATTGGGAGGTCTGGTTGCTGTGTATTTTAGGACTCCCTCTTGAAAAGTCCAGTATATCTTAAGTGATCAGTCTCCCCTGTTTTAGCAAATTAACATTGAAGACTTAATATACATTCCTAGTGTGTTTGAGATTTTATTACATTCCCTTAATTTGACATTTTACCTAATATTTGTACTCTGAACTTAAAAATGGCAGTAATTCAGTAATTGTCAGAGGTTAGTTTAGAAATGACGGGTATTTATTAAGTAACATTGTGTTCTTACTATTACATTTTGTGTTGAGCTGTGTTGTTTGCATACACTAATCCTAATTCCTAAGGCCTCGTAGCTTACATTTTATTTTTCAACAGTGTAATAGCTAGAGATTAAATGTAATTAATGTGCTGTGAGAAATAACATAGTGTTTCTAAATCACCTTTGGCAGTACTAACACAGTGTTCTAATGATTCCTGTGTGAATAAATAATTATTTTAAATCATATTATGCTACAAATAATGATATATATATGGTAACAAACAAAATATTTTAATAAAAATCAATTCTACAATAGTTATTCAACAGATACAACAAGTATAGAGATTGCATTGGCAAATGACACTGTTCATTGTATAACAAGACAACTTTACCAGCATCTCAGGATGATGACTCTGCTTTGTTGAAAATTAATTTGTTCCTGAACTGCATATATTTCCTGGTACTGGTGAAGAAGAACTACATACAGTATGTCATGATTGCTGAGATGTTTCTGTGCTTCAGTTTTGACTTACTATTTCTAGGTTCCCTTCTATACAGTGCAGATACGAAACTTTGATGGGTATTATCTTATAGGGGGCAATACTGTGTATTCTCATAGAAGTTGGCTGAAATTTTGAAGGAAAATACTGCCACTGTGTTCAAGGCTGAACATGTTCTAAGCAAGCAAGGAACAAGAAGCAAGCTAAAGATGTAGGCATTATGTTCCTCCAAAATGTCAGTGAGCTTCTACCAGAATACATGGTGTTACATCCAGGAAGTTAGTATTCTTCGCAGTCATCACTGTGGAAACCTCAAATCCAATAAATCAAAATCTTATAGATCTCCTCCTTTGTGATGTGGAGGAAAATTCTCTAGCTGAATTGTTCAGTTTTTTATCATGTTTTTAAAAGCAGTTCTAGTAAAAGCTTCAGTATACTTTTCAACACACTCATTGTCATGTATACTATAATGAAAGTGAGCTGGGATAGCATAGTTGATATAGCGACTAGCTATGAACTGGACAACCAAGAGATTGGAGTTCAAATCCTGGTAGGGTCAAGATTTTTCTCTTCTCCACAATGTCCAGACTGGCTCTGGGGTCCACCCAACCTCCTTTCCAATGGATACTGGGGACCTTTCCCTGGTGGTAAAGTGGCCGGGGCATGAAGCTGACCACTCACTTCCAGCTTAGATCGAGATCAAGAAAATGAGGATCTATACATCCCCTTCCCCCATATGCCTTCATGGCATAGTGTTTAATTAGTTAAGCACACGGACAACTTTACCTTTGTTACCTTTGCTATAATGAATGGTAGATTCAGAGTCTGTATTTGAAAACCATTCTGTTTAAACTAGTAAGAGGATATCATACTCGTGTGCCAATGTAGTCTCGCTGTTTTGTGATACACTTATTTATCCAAATCTGTTGCTGTTGTCACATGAAAGTGTAGGGAAGCATCTGCTCAGTTCAATCTGTTGGGAAGAACTAATCTCAATCACTGGATGGTTCTAGTTCAGTTCCAAAACATGTTTGTTTAGAATAGTAGAAGGTAAATAAAGGGCAAAAACTCAGTATTCCTGAGTGTTGTACACCATCATCAGAACCTTTCAGAAAAAAAATTATTGTCTGGAAGAGGAGTAGTAGTAGTTCATTTATTTGAAACATGGATGACAGGAATGGAGACATTGTAAATCTTATGTTCATTTTAAATTAAAATGGCATTGCTGCACTTCTGATTAGTGTATACTGTTGAATTTAAGGAACTACCAGCCTGTATGATGGAGAGCAGCTCATATATATGTTCTTACAATATCTGTATAGGAGCCACTACAGACAATCTGCCCCCTGGAGTACTGTATCGAGTCAAGGCCACTTATAAGTACAATCGCGAGGATGTAGATGAACTGTCTTTCGATGTGGGCGAAATCATCCGAGTCGTGGAGTATGATGATCCTGAAGAACAGGTATGAAACCTTGTATTTTACTGATACAGGACTGAAGTACTTTAGAACTGTGAACTGTATTATATACATGAATGGAAAACATTATTTTCATTAAGTCACATTGGTGATTCCGTTACGAAGGAGACACATTTCTGTCACCTACAAATTATGCCATTTATTTGTGAACGTTTGTTATTAATGCCAACATGAAAATAATCCAGGGATCATAAAGAATGTGCTGTTTTTCTTATATGTGATGAGAAATTAAGGCTTACAAGCAAAAAATGATCTCACATTATGCATGAAATTTCTGTTTTTCTATAGTATATATAAGAACCAGCTGGGTAATTTTTTGACAGCTTATGCATAACCTTGATTATTTGATCATCACTTAGTGCTGAACATTCACTCCCTTGCACCTCTTGCTTGTTCATCTGTAGTTGCTTCTTGCAAGAGGGAAAGATAATTTTGACATAGTTTTATTTTGAATTCCACCATCACAAAGAGTACTATCCTTTGGGTTGTGATGCCACAATGATTGACATTTCAGAAGAACTTACTGCCTCCATCTTTGAGATGAAGAAGGGTAAGCTATGTAATTACTCGGCAAGAAGCAGGCAGCAAACAGAACAGTACATTGCTCAGAGATGTCAGTGAAAGTTTACTGGCCTACAGGTGTCACACCCCAGAAGACACTATGCTTTATAATCACTGCTGTAAGAACCTCTCTCTTTTTTTAGAAGGTTCCACATGTAAAACATAACATATTTTATCTTAAATGTTAAAATCCCCTTGTTCTTACTTATATGGTACATTTGATTCACACATTACAGAACTTGATGACAGTTAAAAAGGAATATTTCTGGACAATAATAAATATGAATAGAACAGCTGAGTCTATATCTCTTTTCTTGTAAGATAAATAAAAAGCAGACAGGTAAAAAATAATGTCATAACTACTGATGGTCTTGTTAACCTGCAGTTTTAGAACAGAAAAATTGTTGATGTTTCGTTGTTCCCAGCATCAGTAATAACTTTATCCTGAGTTTATTAATTGGTTGGGATATCTGGTAGGACTGACAGTTGTTCAGGATTCTCAGTCAACCATTTTCCATGTTGTACAAAGCTTTCTGTTGAAAGTTTTAAGGTGTTCATGGCAGTGATTGTTCAGCTTATAGTCTTCTGGGCTGGACTCCCTTTTCATAACCTGTTCCATGTATATGGGTGACCACTTTCCTACAATCTGCTTACATAACCAAACCAAATATTCACCTTACGATAAACAACACTAGTACACAGGCAGAGTGAAGAACCTCCAGTCAAAGGGGCATACATGAAACTACACCAGCATACTTGGTATACTACACAGTAACACCCAAAGATCCATGCCACTGCATAAATAAATACAAACAAGGAGGCCTAGACAGTGTCGTTTGGATGAATGGATAATGTCCCCAAGCAAAATATTGAAATTTTAACCAGTTTGTATTGATTTTAATTAAAGTCCATTTTAAATTAAGGGCGATATGCATTCACTAGCGATATGAAAGTTGGACATACTATAACCATACGGTGCAACAATTTTAGCGAATTCAAGACACCTGATGACTGTTGTGTATGGCTGAAACATGTGAGAAGGGAAGTTTCATGTAGATGGAAGTATACTGTATGAAGTAAATGATCTGAAGGTTTTGTTATAGAGAGGTTGACAGATTTTTCATTGCACTGACTTACTGTTTTCTTCCTCTTGCAATCATATCTGATGATCACTGTTTATTTTCTTCAGGAGGAAGGTTGGTTGATGGGAGTGAAGGAAGGTACTGGAGAGAAGGGAATGTTCCCAGCTAACTTTACGCGACCTTTGTGAGTTGTTTAAAATTGCAAGTCACAAACACCAATTGTCTGAGAACAACCAGTCAGATAATAAGCCATCAACTGACCAATGGGCAAGACAGCAGTATAGTAAGGCACCAGGGGAAGGAGTGACAGGAATGATGTCATCACATGTGACAACAAGAAGAGGAAACATTGGCAACATATCATTTTGAAAGCCCAGAAGATGTATTACCGATATTTAGAGAATCAAACACTTTTATGAAATACTTGCATACCACCAAAACTGGAGCTTAAATTTAGCCTCAGATCTTGAGAGGATAATCACTGTAACTGCTGTTATCTGGTGGCAGCTGCAGGATGTTATGATCTCTTCCTACAGTTTCATTTATAAAAAAGGAAAGGTCTCACATGTGGCACAATTTCAGCTCCATGTAATTATCATCACATCTGTAAAGGCAGAGGAAGATAGAGACATCTGCTGGCACTAAGAGATGGATGGAGAGATGACTAGAAAGCAGACCAGTCAATGACCAAGAATCTTTCAGTGTCCCTGATGTTTTCATCTAAACATCTTTTAATATTAAAGTTCTATCCAAACTGTGAATTGTCAGTCTTTTGTTGAAACATTCCATCAGCCTCAATGCCAACTTGTTTTGATGACAACGTTCTTAGGCCTACATCATTTGATTCAAGCATTCCTGCAGCATTGATGATGATTTTGGTGGTATATCTAAAAACTGTTATCTCCTTTAATTAGTTCTGTGTAATAATAAATTTGAAGAGAGGTTATATATGTTCGATTATGTTGTTAAATGGAATAAGAATGTAGCTGTCACTAGCTACAAAAAATGGCTTCCTTATATTTACCTTGTGAGTGAGTGAGTGATAATAACACTTTACTAATTGGGGAGCACATTGAATGGATTGTAGACTGGTATAATCATTAGGAATTTGAAAGCGATATCAACCTTAAGTCATTTCTAAATACAGTGTTGAATAAATGAAATAGTTTTTTTTTCAGTATACCAGGCCTATGACCTTTATTTGGGGGGAGGGATTTATAGGGATTGTTGTCCCTTCTAGATTAAATTTTGACATTCATATATTAATGTTTGCTTCTACAAAATAAGGTTTTATCCTTCAAGAAATAATGTCTTCAATTAAATAATTTCAACTAACTTTTGAATTTAGTCTAGTAAGTTATTTATAGATATGTTTACTGTAGCTCTGGCTAATTATTGTAAGAATCAACAGAATTTAGTTGCCATTGTACTGTCATTAATGTTACTAACATTAGTGGTTAATGTCTTGCCTGTTAATAACTCTCTAGAAAGAGGCATAATGTCTCTGATGTGGTCTCAGCACATTTCTGACTGCTGTATCCATCATGGCCTGGTTTGGTGCTAGTACTTTTCTTCTGAAATTGCCCCTCCCCCTGAAAGTTTTACGTATAGGATGTGCCTTCACAGTGCCCATTTGATTTGATATCTACAGTATGGATAATATCAGGGCATTAATTGCCAACATCTTATAAATCCATCATCATCCATACTGTTGGATTGGCTACACTGCCATATTCAGACCATGTTCCCATGTGCTGTTATGTCTGGTGCATGCTGGATGCTTCCCAAACTTTTAAAAGTGCCTTTATTATAAGATCCACGTTAAAGATTGTAGCATATTTAGTAGAAACCATAATTTGTCCGTATCGTATGTGAATAATGTTACATATAGATTACATGAAAGCTGTACAGCATTTCTCTTGTCTTTTTGACTACCTTTATGTAGAGTTTGGTGAATTGCTGAATGCTGATTTGACATAACCTGATTTTACCGTGAAAATGGGCTTACTAAAAATATTAGGGGAACTTGAACTTCACGAACAGTTGTTCTTAGCAGAACGGGTTCATATGGAAGTTGGTTCCATTACTGAAAATTTTTTCCAGTTAGCTCAGAGTTTAATATGAGAGTGTATTATAGTATTGTTAAAGAATAATTCTGTAAACATATGACCATTTTCTATTGTAGTTTAAGCAACAAGGAAGGTAGACATGTTTTACTAATTTATTTACAAAGAGTATGATGGTTCCACAGACTGATATTAATTTTAACATCAGTATAGAACATAAATTTAGCAAGTACTCATCTCTACAAAACAACTAAAGCTTGTAATAGTGAAATGTTTGTAAACATGAATAATCCAATATTGAAGTTAGTGGTCTGAGGAAGATATTTTTGTGTGTGCAAACAATTAGGTTGATACTGAATGTACATTTTATTACCATATAGATCTGATTTTTTTTTTTTGCTCTTTCCATTTTTAAATCTGGAATGTTAATTTTTTTAAGTAGCTAAAATTATAAACTCTTTTGTTATATCTTTTGTTAAATATTCCAGGTCGTGTTTTCCTCATTTCTGTTAGGTTTTAGTATATACAGTTCACAATTTCTGTAAACCAAAACAGTGCCCTACATTTATAATTTTTTAATAAGTCAGACTTTAGTTATTTCTTGATTCAGAATTTACATTGCATTGCATTTTAATTGTCAACAAATGGAAATGATAGGAAGTGCTCCAAATGTCCATACTTTAATTGAACTGTCAGTGTAGTATGAAGTATTTTGTGTTGATTAGCCCTAGTCATAACTGAATTACTTTTGCAGGAAGGGGGAACTCTCTTAATGTTTCATCACATTATTCCATGAAGTCTGGTGCCATGGAGGTAGTTATTTGAGTTTTCATCCCAATCTAGTTCTTTTACTTTTTATTTAAGTGTACTTTTGGTGCATTTTTAAAATTTTTTAAGATGAAAGATTAAGGCTCGTTGTAAAAATAGTAAAATACGCATTACATGTTTCACCACATTTCTACACTATCATATACAGTTTTTATGATGTTTAAATAAAGTGAGTTATGTTATACACATGAGTGTTACCATTTTTGTTAGTGTATGTTAATTTTTAAGGAAGTTGGGATAGCTCAGTCAATATAGTGGTTAGAGTACAGGCTGGATAAGTGCGGAATCGTGGTTTCATTCCCAGCATAAGCAAGAGATTTTTAGATTGTCTTCAGAGTGGCTCTGAGGCACACCAACCTCCTATCCAGTAGGTATTATATGTCTGGCATACTTGTAGATCGAACCATGGTAGGACAGGCATCAAGATGTACACACACACACCGCTCAAGTGGTAAGGAATGGCAGCCTCTCAATCTGTGACTTTCTCTGTTGTTGTAAACATCAGGTACGTACTAGCTTTTCAAAAAATATTGTCACATGACAGTTGAAAGCTGTCATGGTTGAACAGCAAAAGTCATCCATCGCTAGGCCATGGCCAGTAAACATGTTTCCGCATCAGTAACACCCAAGCCATCGCTAGGCAACAGCCCACTTCACACATTACTTGACAGCATAGGAATTCTTGGAATTGGTGTTTTCTATGTGGTCCTTGTCAGTGTAGTCTTTGTCCCAAGATGAGGCTTGACACTGGGACTGACTGGTCGACTGACCATCAGTCATAATGTGACTTTGACTTTGACTAAATGTTACTTAGAATAGTGCAGTGACAAACGGTTGCCAATAATAATAACCAGGACTCTGTGACAGCACGGACATCCTCATACTAGAACTATGGTGAAACAAACACAGCACCTCCACAGAAACCAGTCCCTCCTCTCATCGAAGATGAGGCCTGATTTCCAAAACACATACATGTATAGGAAAAAAGTATAAAGCTTAAACAAAAGTCTTGACAAGACCTTAAGCCAAGAATGACTGTGCTGGTGAGGGCCAGAATCAATTTAACAGACCGACTGGCCAAATTAATTTTGAGTCAGTTGCCAGCCAACAAGGATGTGAGCGTGGAACTAGAACAGTCTTCGTTGTTAGAATCTGTTACCAGGCAGTGACTAGTGAAGACATAGAAGACTTTTATGTGTGCTGTAGTTATGCCTGATCTTTAAAGAGTCTGTAATTCAGTGAGAGTGTAATAGTTACTTGTAGTTACCAGTTATCAGTCCAAACCCTGTATCTAGTCACTAACGCATGACAGTATCAATTAATTTAATTTGCTCTTCATTTGCAATTCATTTTGATTATAATTAGTATGGGGAGTAATTTGATTGTAAGGGAAAGAGTGAATAGTAGAGCATTACATAGTCAGAACAGATTGTCAACAATGTGTGGCATGAAAGGAGATGAGGAATACGAAGGAGGTAAAATTGTGCCAAAAACAAATTCTGGAGAAATTATATAAAGCCACAGGATCATCTGTATGTGTGGGTTGTACCTAATAGCTCAGTTTATCACTGAGGCCAGGTTTTCTCTTGGTAATTCAGTTTCCATTGCTCTCATATGTCATCTGGGGCCATCCAGAAGGGGACAGAGACTGCAGCTGTTGCTCAGTGGAGTGCATGCAACTCTATCTGTTCTCACACATTCAACAATATTGTCACAATTTAGGGGGAACTATAGATGGACTATGGATTGGTGAATGGATTTATTGACCACTTATACACATCACTCGGAACTACAAGTAATTACACTGTTATCGCCAATCTCCACACTTTACCAATCACTGCAGTACCTGCTAAGCCTTTTTCCAGCCTGCTGTATCTTCATGAGCCATTCCTGGCAGCAGCTTCTGATAGTGGAGTTTCCTCTGCTTCATGCATTCAGGTTCTGTCTTTGCAGCCTCTTGTGCAGCACTTAACTAACTACTCACAGTCAAAGATACATTGTGACTGATAGTCAGTAAGTCTTTATTACTGTTTGACAGTTAGGTCTTGTTTTTGAGGAGTGCCCTCTCTGATGAGAGGATGGATCTGTCTTTTGTATATGCTGCTGACCCTTGCCAGCGCAGGCTTTCTTGGGTCCCAGTCCCTTGGACTCGCGACCATATTTTACTGTCTCACATTTGAGACTTCCATTTTCATGGCCACTTACGACTCGCAGCGTCATGGTTGAGGTATTTGACCCTGCCTCCACACAGGAAGAGGATACTGAACTACTGAGTCTGAGTCTCATTTTATGACCGATGGTCACTTGGCCAGTCTGTCTTGGCATAAAGCACCCATCTGGGGCTTGCAACCAGATTTATTACTGTTTGACAGTTATGGTCTTGATTTTTATGGGCGCCCTCTCTGACGAGAGGATGGGTCTGTCTTTTGAATATGCTGCTGGTCCTTTCCAGTGCAGTCTTTCTTGGGTCCAAGACCTTTGGTACTCAAGACCATATATTACTGTCTCAAATTTGAGACTTCCCTTTTTGTCACCTCCTACGACTTGCAGGGCCACGGTGGAGGTATTCGAACCCTGCCTCCACATGGGCCTGCTGAATTTAACTATTCTCCAAGCTTCCCAGTTATAACACCTCGGCATAGACCACATATAAAACACTCCATTTTCATTGTTGTAGTCCAACTGTTGCATTATTAAAAGTCTGCTGCCCAACAACGGGAACGTGTTTACCGAGCCATTGCCCAGAAACAGCCCCTGTTTACTGAGTCATTGCTTAGCAGTGGGTCTATATGTCACAATATTTTATGGATTAAATCTGCAAAGTTGTGCTTTATAATTGGTATTGAACAACTTTAATAGGAAACTCGCCAGGTAAGCTCACATTCCAAATTGTATAATTTTAGCTTAGTAACACATGAATGAAGCAAAAAGAATGCCTCTCTTACATCCCTACTATCCCATTCCATATCCATCTGATCTACATGTAGGTGCAGAGTTCTAACTACGAGAGACAAGTAATATGAGATTTCTCTTGCTTGGGAATAAGCAGCCAGGGCATGAAGCTCACAACTTACCAGCATGAAGCAGATAGCTGCTTCACACTACTTTTTTGCTTGGCCTATTTTTCAACCCTAAAGATGGAGGGGACATGTTCCTCTGAAACATCAGTTGACTTTCAGTGGACTACATGGCTTTATTACCCCAGGAGTCAGAACTCTTCTGTTGATCAAACAAAAAAAAACTATCTCCGTGATTTTAGTCTGCAAGTGAACAATACCGGCTGAGCAACCGCCGCTTGTCGGCGAAGTTCAGTGCCAACTTTAGTGGATAGAGGGTGTCACATGGTCAGCGCATCGAATTCCCGTGGCTGTTAATTTCGGTTTTCTAGACTGGAGCCGCTATTTTCTTGAAATAGCTCCTCAATTATCATCATGAGTCTGAGTGGACCCTGTTCCAGATCCACTACTACTTAGAGAAAATCTGGTAGCACTGGAAATTGACCCCGGACCTGTGGATCTGTTCATCTGTTGATCACCTGCTGAAAAAGTTACTTGGCAGTAAATTTTATTGTTTATGTACATGAGCTCTGAAACAAAGCATATAACAATTTAAATGAAGTCCTTTAATTCTAAACTTACTTGTACTTTTAAATTTGAAGCACTAGCTAGTGAAGTCATTGACAGTGCTGAATTTCCAGTAACAAAATCAAATGAAGATTTAAAGGCAAGAATCAGGCCACCATACACACTTCTGCTCAGTGTAATGCCTGCAATGCTCTTACTTCAAAATTCATGCATTGATTCTGAAAAAATAAGATGAACTGCTTAGTGTATGGTAGATGAAGTGACAGGAGGTTGTAGAAAACTGCATAATGAGGAGCTTCATAACTTGTACTCTTCTCCAAGTATAATTAGAATGATCAAGTCAAGGAGGATGAGATGGGAAGGGCATATAGCACGAATGGGGGAGAGGAGAAATGCATATTGGATATTGGTGGGAAAGCCAGGAGGAAGGAGGCCACTGGGAAGACCAAGATGTAGGTAGGTGGACAATATTAAAATAGATCTCAGAGAGATATGGTGGTATGGATTGCTGCAGAATTGGCAGCTTCTCAAGAAGGCTCAGCTCCCTAAGTGAGTGAGTCTGTGTATGGTGGCACTTTCTGCAGAAATGCAGGAGTACGTCAGGTAGGATTCTGGTGTAAATGACATGGAACTATGCTGTTCATCACAATAACATTTTACCATATGTCACATGGGATCATGAATTAGTGTATATATGGAGGTCTGCACTTATAAATCAATTTTCTTGTAATTTATGTATCTAACAATGTGATATGAATCAGAATTGAAACAACCGGTTTAAGAATTGAAGTGCCACGAAGGTAAGTTGTTTTTAAAATTTAATAATTTCTGATCATGTTTTGACATTCAGAAAGAGAGAAACCACTAGGAAGACCAAGACATAGGTGGGTGGATAATATTAAAATGGATCTTAGAGAGATAGGATTATCTGGTATGGACTCTATTGATCTGGCTCAGGATAGGGACCAGTGGAGGGCTCTTTTTCGAACATAATGAACCTTTCAGTTCCATGCAGTGCTGGGAAGTTATTGAATAGCTGCATAATTGGTGGGTTCACTAGAAGGGCACAGCTCCATGAAGTTAGTTATGATATTATCGACTTTAAAGAACATGTCAGGGCGTCACTGCTCTGCTGCAATTACACTTACAGCTGTGCCAATATATATTTTAAAGAATGCAGATCCAGAGGTCCGGGTTCGATTCCAGACGTTACCAGGTTTTCTGAGAAGTAGTGGGTCTGGAACGGGGTCCACTCAACCACGTGAGGACAATTGAAGAGGTGTTTCAAGGAAATGGCTTCTGCGGTCTAGAAAACCGAAATGAACCACTGTGGGGATTCGTTGCTCTGACCACGTGACATCCTATATCCGCCAAAGTTGGCAATAACTTCGCCGATAAATGGCAGTTCGCTTGCGTACTAAAACCAGGGAGATTTTTATTTTATTGTTAAAATGGCTTTCTAATGGTGCGATTGTGGGTGAAATAGTACTAGTACATAAAAAAGTCAGGACAGGAACATTGACCATACTTTTTCATCTGCAAATGGCCTTAGAAATGAAACTGATTGTTGCTTAATAGACCATGGACGGTTACTGAATATTGAACAATAATTAAATCTGTCTCATTGGTAAAGCTATTTTTGACATTTCGCCTTTGGTTTATTTTGGACCTTTGATCAAATTCTTCAAAGACGTTTTCGAGAAAATTGCCATTTTGTTTTGGGATTCAACTAGATGAAAGCTGGAATCCTCGTAATCACCCCTCACGGAGGTTCAACTAAACTTAAATACACGTACAAATGAAATCCCTTCAACCGTACACGCGTTAGCGACGCCCACATCTATACATATAGGCCGACGTCATTTCAAAATTAACTTTTTGTTTTTCAGGGAAGTTCAAAACGCGCAAGCTTGACAGAATCTCGAGATCGGTTTTTGTTCACGATCACAATACTTTCTCATAAATCCCTACATACATGAGATAGTAAAAATTTGGCATTGCTGGATTCTTTCTTCCATCTTTCATTGGTTGTGTACCTATGAGATTGGTGCGAGGTCAGAAATGAAGCCCAGGACAGGATGTGTTAATGTGCTGCTAGGCCTGGTTTATCGCACACCCCAAGGGGGGGGGCGTGATACAATGATAATTAAGAGGAGAAAAGAGAAGGAATAAAGAGAAAAATCTACTCCAATGCCCCATCGTCCACCTCGAATCTTGCATAAAGTTGATTCTAAATGGTTCTGACACTGGTGGATGACACTCAGAATTACTGGGGTTTTGGACTTTTTCCATCGTCCGGAATTTTAGATAATAAGAGACACAACTTTTCGGAAACTGGATGCGTTTCCGTCTTCAGGCGAAAAAAGAAGACACGTACTCAGTTGGGCCCCTTAGAAAGAGCTAATCTCAATCACTGGACTCAACATTAGCTCTTTCTAAGGGGCCCAACAGAGTAGGTGTAGTCCAGTGACTGAGATTAGATCTTTCTATTTCTAAGGGACCCAACTTAATAGGTGTCTTCCTTTCTCACCTGAAGACGGAAACAGATCCAGTTTCCGAAACGTTGTGTCCTCTATTACCTAAACTTCCGGACGATGGAAGAGTCCAAAACCCCATAATTCTGTGTTACATAAAGTTACCCCAGACTGAACTGAAGGCTCCGCGGTGACAACTGCATCTGATGTCGTTTTTATATTAATTACTCTATACTACCCACATGTTCCATGGCATTGTTGTGTGTTGTATTGTATTTCTGACAGCGAGATACTTCAAACGTAGGGGAATACTGTGCGGATTTCCTATATCTAGAGCTCATCACTTTCTGAATCATTTCCGTAATTTTTAATTCCTTGAAAGAACGAACATTTCTTAATTCTGAGTGCTTTATCTGTAATGACTCATCGTGTGCTGGAAGGAACGAGGAAAATTGCCACAAGCCCATACGATTGTATACCTTGAATTCAGAACAGTAATTTCTCTACCGCATGGATGTAGTTGAATGCGGTATTTAATATGAATATGAAACATAAATGCAGTATTTTATTTTGGTGCACCCTTTTTCCGTACTGTAAAAGTTTGGATCGAGAAATGTGATGGTTATAGCAGGAAGCCATTTAGTGATGAGTTTTTAAATGTTGGCATCATTGCATATCAATTCGTCGTCTGCCGGTGCTTTGTACTGCAGTGAGGTGTGGTGTGTGAGTGCCTAATGGAGTATTTATTCTTCGAACCAGTTTTCATGTTATTGTCATGACTGTTAGTGAAATAAATTGACTGCCTTTTTATGAAGAAATACGGCTTTAATATCGGACAGAATATTTACACAGTAGTGTGTAACATATTTGTTTCTAGGAGAAATGTCCATGAGCATGATCTGCTGGTGTTGCCTATCACAGGAAGCAAGGGAAAAGAAAAAAATCAGTGACGAGATTGATAAAATTCTAATGGAAGAAGAGAAACATTTGAGAAAAGAATTTAAGCTTCTCCTCTTAGGTAGGTTTATTTAGAATGTTAATAAAATTGAAGTGTGGTTATGTCTTGAATTTGAAGGGATGAAAGCATGTTGTAGAAAGGTATCTGCATTTAAGTACGAACTAAATTCAGAATTTTGATTCAGAAATTTCTTCATGACAGATTTGAGTTAGAAATCTTGTGAACTATTTGTTTCAGGGGCGGGAGAATCCGGAAAATCAACGTTTATCAAGCAGATGAGGATAATTCATGGTTCAGGTTTTTCAGAGGATGAAAGGAGAAACTTCGTTCAAGTGATCAACCATAATGTATGTGTAGCCATGCAAACCATGATCAAAGCAATGGAAAAGCTGCAGATCCAGTATCATGATATTTCCAATATTGTAAGTAATTTGGGACTGTTTTATGTAACTGAAGCCATGGAACTTAACTGTTTTCAAGAAATTTAGGAAAGATTTTATTCAGGGTCGAATGTGACAGTAGTGTTTCCACAACTTATGTATACTGTCTTGACAATGTGTGCTGTCTGCATGAGGCCTGATTTATATACTCTATTGGACCCAAGATGTATGATGTATAGTTATCATGAATTTGTAACATGTGACATATTTTATATCCAGCCCTACAGGGAAAGGATTGGATCAATGGAGTGAAAATAAATGTAAATGTAAATATATGTACCATTAGTAATGGTTTCTCTTTTCTTGAATGAGTTCCTTAAGCATTATGACTAAAAGAGTAGAAAGATGGGAGATTTCCAGACATCAGTCAAGAAAACTGTTATTGCTAATTTTACAGTAATTAAATATCCTAACTTCATAGTTGTAAAAGAGGACACAAACTATCAGAAGTTTTTCCTCAGAGGTTAATGTCCTTCTTTATCAGGCCCTCACAAGTTGGAGTACTGCCTTTCGTTGTGGTATGTTATTTGTAATTTTAAATTCTTGCTTTTGGCCATGAATTTTCACATGAAACTTTGATATCATAATGGTAGACTGTTTGCAAACACAATGTAAGAGGGGGTATGCTGTGTTAGTGACACTGGGTTCTGTATTTGAAGTTTTAAAAGGGTTGCAGTAATCAGGGATGGCAGTGGTTCTCCAGAAGTAAGCATATTCACCAGACCCCTGACTAAGAACAGTGCATGTTGTGAAGGAAATTACTACAGTGCAGGCTCAGAAGACTTGCAATATCATGAGTCCTTGTCGTCCAGGTTAATTAAAAACGAGTAGCAAATGAAGTATAAGTTAGATTTTAGGAGCCAGGATAGCTCAGTCAGTTTAGTGATTGACGGCAAGCGAGTATTCTCTACTCCGTAGCGGCCAGACAGGGTCTAGGGCCCATCCAGCCTCCAGTCGAATGGGTACTGAGGGTGGCTGGGGCATGAAGCTGACCAGTCACCACCATCTAATGTTAAAATGATGGAGTTATACTTCAAGTGTTCCATCTTCATGGTGTGGTGCTTAATTAAGCGAGCACAGGGACAGCTGTATCTTTTATGAGTTAGATTTCATTGGAATACATGAGATTGGATTGGACAAGGGGGCCACTGAACTAGGTGCCAGTTTTGTATATCTGTAAGGAAAATTGAATGCTAACCTTTACTTAGGATGGGTCTGTTTGTGCGTGAGGAAATCATATCAGCAGATAAGAGGGTAGCTGTGCACTGACCTTGATATTTGTTGTGTTGTGATGGTTAATAAAGAAGTTGTATATTGTAAAACAACAGGATGCATGAAATGAAAAGAGGGTAGAAATTGTTGGTACAGTAAACTCCTGGTTATCTGGAATCCAGAATTCTCGGACAAACTTCCAGAAATTCTCCGTTTTTATAAAGTTGCTTCAAAAACAGAGTTTCAGTGTGTGTATGTTTAATTGCCACACTCATTTCTCGCAGCCACTGCTAGCAACGCTGCCTGTCATCCTCTTTCATACAAGTGACACTGCTGTAATAGTGATCATGACACAGTAGAGACTGAGTGAATTTGTGGTCACATTATAGTATACTTGAAATCTTTCATCCATCAAGGAGACCCTCCACACAAAAACCAAAGAAAAAAATGGTTGTTGTGACTTCGAACCAGAAAATTGAAGCACATAAAATAATATGAAAGGATGAAAATTGCATAAAAATTGTTTTTCTCTAGTGCAACCAGCAGTCTCATGCAAGAGAAATATCTCATTCCGCATAAATGCCAGGTAACAGAGGGTTTACTGTAATAGAAAGTACTTCAATACTGCGAGGTTGTTCATGTATTATTACTCTGAGTGTGCATTACCCAACGGAAGGTAAAACTGGTGATACAAAGGACAGCTTTCATGAGAAACCAGAGTGTATGCATGGAGAGAAGATGTTTTTAAATGATCAGTCAGGATGAACGCATATAGGACATTGATGGGAAAGCCAGAAGGGATGAGACCACTAGGAAGACCAAGACCTAGGTGGCTAGCCAATATTAAAAAGTGGAATTTAGATAGGATGTGATGGTATGGTATGGATTGGATTGATGTGGCTCAGGATAAGGATCAGTGGATGGCTTGTGTGAACACGGCACTAAATCTTAGGGTTCCATAAAATGCTGGGAAGTTCTTGAATAGCTGCACAATTGGCAGATTCTCAATAAGGGCTCAGCTCCATGAGTGAGATTGAGTGAGTCAGGAATGAAGGGTTCATGTAAAATGGAGTAGTAAACTTTGTGGTGTAAAAAAATCGAATTATTAGGTGTGCAACATTGCTACATTGTAGCATTTAGTGCTTGGACTTTCCCGTGTTGGAAGATGCATAACTAGTTTGTAGATGGTATTCAGGTATACTTTTATTTTGTTATTATTGCTAGTGGGGTGGGATTAAGTTCCTTGTACTGCGGCCACTTCTGGCCTATTATACCAACCCAGATGATAGGTAAGGGCGTTTGTGGAGCAATTGGTGGAATGAAGATTGGCAGGGGAAACCGAAGTACTTAGAAAAAACCTGCCCCAGTGCCAATTTGTCCACCACAAATCCCACTTGACCAGACCCAGGATCGAACCAGGGCCACGGCGATGGGAAGCCAGCAGCTAACCACTTGAGCTATGGTGTGGCCCTTCAGGTATACTTAATGTCCATTCTTTCAGAGGTGCAGGTTATGATACTGATTGCTTTCTAGTGGTTGTAAACGCTAACAAGGGGCTATCAGTGGTAAGAGATTTGAAGTCCTAATTGTGACAGATGTTCAGATTATGGAATTCTGGGTTGTGAGACTGTGTAGTCTCGTAGGTGAATTGCAATATTTTTTAAGAAACAGTCTGCCTCCACCTTCAGGGTCGGAGTGAGTGGAGATTTTTTCCAAAGACAGGATAGATAGTTTCTTGTGAGAGATACTCCACTGCCTGGCCCTAAGAAGGGCTGTTTTCTCACATTTTGCTGGTATCACTGCTCTTACCCCAGACAAGGCTCTGTGTCCTGTACCCTAACTGTGCATCTAAGTGACTTCCATCTATATCACCTTGTCTGTGTAACATGATAGCATTACCACAGCCCTATCAACATACTTCAACCCTGAAGCTGGATCCAGCTGAACTGAATGGAAATTTACATAATTACAAGGCTTCTTCTAGTATTGCCAAGGCTTGGTTGGTTTGGATGTGTAGCTGAAATTGTGAAACAGATGAATGCAAAGTTTCTGTGGGACTGTTAGAAGGATTTAAGTTTTTGTGAGAGAATAATATTAAAACTTGTGCTAGAGAAATAGGTTATGGTGACTAGTTTGTAGTTTACATTATAGTGCCTTCAGTGTCACATACTCAATAGCATGTAACGGTAGGGCGATAAATAATGAATTTGGCTCTATTTGGAAGGAAGTGATTGCAGCATAATTGAAGTACTATTACATCATTTGCCTGAAGCGACTGATAAAACCACAAAAAGCCTTAGTCCAGATAGCCAGTGCCTGAGTCAGAATTCGGACAGAGCTAGACAAACTGTTCGGTGTGTGGTGTTGTTAATTAGGTTGAAGGAATATTATGGTTGCTATAACAAGAATAGGTAATTATTTATTTGATAATGATGTGTACAGTTAAGTAAAAAGTAAAGTAAAGATATCCCTGTAGCAGGCCTTTGAGGCCCATAGGGTTGTGAGATGTTGAGGTTTGCACATTTTCTAGACAATCAGTTCATAGATGGCAATAAGGTTGTCAGCCCTACGCGCTGGCCGCCCTTTATCCCCAAGAATAGTCCAAGAATATTCCTGGTACTCATTTCTGTTAGAGGCTGAGTCGACCCCATGGCCATAGTGAGGCTGGAAGGATTAGGTAAATTGAAAAAAATCCAATGACCTCATCAGGATTCGATCCCGCGACCTTCCGGCTTGTAGCATAGTGCCTCAACCAACTACGCTACTACTTGCTGCATGTATAGAAATATAATGGTGATTTCACTGTATTTTATGTTTTCACTTTTGAAATATTTATTTGTCTTCAGGAGAGAGCAAGATTATTTCTTGAAGAAGAATTTAGCTATCTCACAAGACCCAGCAGGGAGCACATAGAGGTTTGCAAGATCCTGTGGGCTGATCCAGGTATCAGAGAGTGCTTCAAACGAAAGCAAGAGTTCTACATAACAGAATCAGCTACATAGTAAGTTTTATTTCCACCACCAATTTACTCATCAAGTTAATCTCTCACCAAGGCCAACCAACAATTGTTATAAAGTTGAATAGTTGAAGTAGATTAGTTGTTTGTACTTCAATCTAAGTAATTAATTGGACAAAGACACCTTTTAAAATCTGTTTTATTGTGCACACTTACCATCAACTATAAGAAACTATTTTGCTGTTATTGTAAGCCATGGGTAATTCAGTTTGATGAATAGGATTCTGCAAATTAAACTGTATGTACCAGTTCACGAATTAAAAAAAGAAATAGATCAGAATTAATTATTCTTAGCAAAAGTTTTGTTTATATATTGACAGCTGCAATTCATTGTATTCAAATGGTATAATCATTTTTGGCTCTCTTTAATTTCTTTATGTCTTCTGTGAAATGAATTTCCTTTTGAAAATAGTTCTAATATATCCCATTAAATGACATTTCTGGACATAAAAAATTACCTTCATTCATGTTGGATTGAGGTTCTCATGACAGCTACCGTGAAGTATGGTCTTCTGGTGTTGTAATGCACAGAGGTTTCCACATGTTTCTGCAGGTTTCTTGCGTGACTTACTCATTGACCCTGAAGATGGAGGCAATATATTCCTCCAAAATATTGCACTGTCACAACTTCACAGCCACACAATCCAGGAGACCATACTATGTCTGCCTTTAAACACCTCCAGTCTCCAATTCGCAGAAATCTGTTGGGAACTAAATGGTGCATAGTAAAAGTAAATAAGTAAAGGTATCCCCGTAATAGGCCATGAAGGCCCATAGAGTTGTGAGACGTTGAGGGTCCCACACTATCTAGACAATCAGCTGAAAGATGGTAGTAAGGTTCACAGCCTTATACATCAGCCACGCTTTACTCCCCAGGAAAATTAATTAATTCCTGGTACTCGTTTCTGTTGGAGGCTGAGTCAACCCCAGGGCCATAGTGTGTCTGGAAGGATTAGGTCAATTGAGAAAAAAAGTCAATGACCTCATCAGGACTTGAACCCGCGACCTTCTGGCTTGTAGCATAGTGCCTCAACCAACTACGCTACTGTGTGCCCCCAAACAGTGTGTAGTATGGATCTTAGACATCAGAGCCAGAATGAGGCTTATTTACGATATCTGTCAGGCATCCTTTATCCTCAGATTCATGAACATGGTTCATCGTACTCAAATAATATACATAAATTCAGCCATGTATCTCATTATGATTTATAAATTAGGTGAAACATCTTTTACTGTGAAGAGCTCTGTCTTCTGGAATATAATGCCATGTAGTCTTGAAGGTCAACCGATTTTTCAGAGGAACATATGGCCTCTGTCTTCAGAGTTTAAGATAACCACCACTGCGAGACAAATCTTACATATTTTATTATATTATTTATACTTTATTTATTAATGGTGTGAGTGGCTCAGACTCTATAGCATCAAATAGTAGGATGGTTAGCGAATAAAGAATTGGAAATTATGTGAACAGAAGTAGTTATGGCCTGAATTGAGATACTGTCCTAACATTTACTTAGAGGAACTGAGGACAATAACATGTAAGTAGTGTTGTCAGATATCTCAACTGGTTCTTGTTTAGTTCGAATCCTGCTTTAGTTTTGGAAGAAGATTTCCAAGCAAAATATTTTGCACGTTTTGTCCAGGTATGGACATCCAGTATCCTTGATGGTCTCTGTACATCCACTCCCAGATGGCCACTTGAACTGGCCGGATACCAACTTCATTTTATTCAACTCTCTATGTCCTAGAACCCGTATCAGTTGTACCCTGTTATGTTCAGCCAATTTTTTTAATGACTGATGGCAATTACCCATTGGGAAGACCAAGGAATATGTGGAGGAACAATATTAAAATGGATTTTAGAGAGATAGGATGGGATGGTATGGATTGGATTGATCTGGCTCAGGATAGAGACCAGTGGAGGGCTCCTGTGAACATGGTAATGAACCTTTGGGTTCCATAAAATGCTGAGAAATTCTGGAGTATGTGCAGAATTGGCAGCTCCACGAGAAGGGCTCAGCTCCATGAGTAACATGGCAGTTACAGACCACTTTAGAATTAATCTGGTAATTTTCAAACATTCCCTGCTAAGTAACCTGGAGTTGTTGCTAGTGAAAGTAAGTTGTGTCATATTTATAAAGAAGAAATGAGATAGTATCCGAATGCCAATGGTGGGAGGTGTAGTATATTCAAAGTTGTATTGTGTAAATTGATCCTGTGCATAAATTATGACTTTATGGCTATGGTACTAAGATTCCGGTGTGGGTACCTCTGTTTTATTGAGTCTTGGAAGCTTTATTTTATAAGCGCTGTAGAAAATTGGAGTGAATATATTATTTTCTTAGTAAAATTGAAGCTGTGTGTTTTCTTACAGCTATCTTCCGAAGATAGATCTTGTGACTACCTCTGACTACCTTCCCACCAAGCAGGACATATTACATGCAAGAGTTCCTACTTCTGGTATTAATGAATACAGTTTTAATGTGGAGAGAGTCTCTTTTAGGTATGATAGAATTATGGCTGTTGAATGAAGTACATTTGTTAATCTGTTATTAAATATTGTGTTTGTTTTGTTGTGCTTGTCGTTATGGATTGATTGGAGTACTAACATCAAGATTCTCCATGTATGTATACAAACCAATTATCTGATAATTAATTAAGTTTCTAAGCAAACATACGTACAGGAAAATAATCTTTAAATTGTTAATCTGGCTCGGGACCCGTATGACTATATGAATTATGCCAGAATGAAGGTATGTTCTAAAGGGTTCTGACAATGGTGGATGACACAGAATTACTGAGTTTTTGTACTTTTTCTATCATCCAGAATTCTAAGTAATAGAAGACATGACATTTTGGAAACAGATCCAGTTTCCAAAAGTCATGTCTTCTATTACCTAGAATTCTGGACAATGGAAGAAGTCCAAAAACTCAGTAATTCTAAGAGTGAAGGTGTTAATACAGTGGAACTCCAATTTAATATTCCATATTTAAGATGCCTGCATGCACATGCATGCATTCACACACATAAATATAAGCGTGATTGGCTCCACAAAGAAAGAAACAGTGACAAAATTTGAAGAGAGAGTGTTGAATCCAGTTTTATAATTTTTCAATCAAAGACTTCTCTCTGAATGTGTCAGCTACTATGTATCTAAATTAGCACATAAGAATTGAGGCCCTCATTTGGTTCTTCTCTGTGATAGAAATCTTCTGGGCCCTGCACTGCATTATATTTACAGAAAGTAATCACTGTAAGGAATGAAGTCAAAACCTGTAAATGGATGTCTTGCTGTGTTAATTTTTCTATGTATGAACACGTGCACATGTGTGCATACTATCATGTAATGGATATGAATATCTTGAATATTGTAATTGCAGAATTGTCGATGTAGGTGGCCAGAGAAGAGAACGAAGAAAATGGATCCACTGCTTTGAAAATGTAACGTCCATAATATTCATTGCAGCCCTGAGCGAATATGACCAATGTTTGTTTGAAGAAGACGGTATGGTAAGTATTACAATTTATATTTGAAATGTATATTTTGATACAATACCGGCTGTCCAGATGAAAGGGATCCAAAATAAAAAGTATATATCTCAGAAACTAATTGTCATACACGTATCCGGTTAATGTCATCGGAAAGGAAAACTTTCATACCTGGCTTACGCACATGCGCTGCCACATTTCTGCCACCATGTTAAGGATCACCTGGACAGAGAGATGGCTGGGATATGGATCGGCAGAGTTGAACCAATCGCTTGGACTCTTAGGTCACCAAATTTAACCCCAGTGGATTTTTTCTTGTGGGGTTATGTGAAGAACATGGTCTACCAGGTTAAGATCAGTGACCTTCAACACCTGAAAGCCCGCAAAAGGGATGCTGTGCTTATGGTAACACCAAACGTGCTTCGAATATGGATATTTGTCGTGCCACCAAGAGAGCCCACATAAATTTATTGAGAAAGTTATATATGCAGAAAAGAACTTTGATAGTTTCCCTTTGTAATGGTGTAACTCATTAACGTGTATAATAAATTCTTTCTGAGATATAATGATTTTATTTTGGATACCTTTCATCCAGACACCCTGCATTGTGTGTTACTTGATTTCTCTTAGAGGAGAATTGTCTTTGAATGTTATCCCTTTTTGGGATTAAAGAAAGAAACTAAAAAAAGTTTGCATTTTAGAGATGGATCTACCCCCTGAAATATTATATATATATTTTTTTTATCTAGATGGTGGAGACCATCCCCCTAAAAGTTCTGCTATGATACAGAACTATTATCATATACCTCTCGAACCAGATTGATTTCACACGAATGCTCAGAAATACATGTGTTTTATTTTTAATTATTTATCGTTTATTTAACAATGTTATCAGTAACTCAAGACTACATAGCATTGAATATTTGGATGGTAGTTAACACATTTACTGTTATTCTCCTTGCCTGCTCTGCTTGTCATTTTACCGTGAAAAGTGGATTATGAAAGTACTACATTTGAAATGGAATTGGAAGAGAACAAGTGATGAAGGCTCATCAGCCATCATTTGGTAGGTTTGTACAAAATTATACAGGGTGACATCCCAGAAGACTGTAATCTTAATATTCAGCACTGAGAATGTGAAATTTTCTGGAACTGGAAAAAATTATGTTAGGATCCCAGAGTTGTTTTGCTGAACTTGAGTTCATGATGTTTGTACGTCACCATTTTCAGAATCGTCTGGAGGAGAGCATGACATTGTTTCAAGTGACCATCATGTCCCAGTGGTTTCAGCGATCATCAGTCATATTATTCCTAAACAAGAAAGATTTACTTGAAGAGAAGATAATGTATTCTGATCTTGCTGTTAATTTTCCAGATTATGATGGTATGTTAACTTTCAGCTTCTAGTAATACAAACTACGGATCAGTCACGCAGTACAGCTTTGTTATGCTTGTCCTTTTTACGCGAGGATTACATTTAGTATTGGTATTTGACTTTACAAAATTCAAGAAACTGAAATGTTTGAGAAGCTAAGCAACTGTTTGTTTCTGAAGAAGAACTTGGCTCTATGGAGCTAGTTAGTTGGTTTGTTAAGCATTTGGTTAGTTGGTTAGTTAGTTAGTCTGTTTGTTTGTTGGTACTGAGATAAAAATATGAAGGTTTTAGGGGTGAAGTTGGTATTCAGATTTTGTTAATGCAGTTACAAGAGAATTAACTGCAATGGTTAGGTTAGGCTCAAAGAGCAGATAGAACATACTGAGAAAGGCATTAAAATTAGAACTTAAAGGAAAGAAGTATATGGGATGATCCAGAATGAGTTGCATCTAGAAAGCATGAAGAAGAGTGGAGAGAGCTGGCAAGAAATTGGGAAGAAAAGGCAGTTGGAAGATGAAAGAGATTGGAGAACTTTTGTTCCTTGACCTGTATAACACAGAAATGGTACTGGAAGAAGAAGGAAAATGTGACTCTGATATGGCTGCTGCTGCTTCTTTCTCTGTGGTAAACATAGAGAGCTATGCAATGTTGTTTTTCCTTCCATGAAACTATGTGTAAACTTCATGTTAAAAAATATCGTTTCATTCTCATTAATTGCCTAACAGCAAAGATACGAACATGATGCCCCTGGTTTAGGATCTAGAAATGGTTTGCTTCTTTGAAAAATTATGTTACTTTTGCACATTCATAGTATAGACAAAGTTTACCACTTTTCTGTTTCAGAGTGCATCCTTTATGTTACAGGAGGAATAATTTTCCAGATTGGCTCATTAAAACTTAACAAGTTAGCTTTATGATGAAGCAGATCACATTTAAAAGGTCATTGGATTGAACTCTTTCAGTAGTTAATGAAATACAATGATGATGTAGCATTGCAAATCTTAATGTATAAATTTATTGTTGTTCACAAGTACGCTATCTAATTTATGATCAGTATAGCAGAGTAGTAACAGCTAGAGGAGTCAAATGACTAATTGCAAACAGTTGTGAATGCTTGTAAACAGTTCTAGATAGAAGTAATCAGTGTCAGATCCATTTCCAACCCAAATTCACTGTGTAGTCACTATCACATGACAGAATTAATAAAATAATATGCAATGGTTTTATCTTTAATGAAAGGCTTTTGGTATCCTCAGGTCCCCCACAGGATGCTGTAGCAGCCCAGAAATTCATTCTAGATATGTTTCATTCTCTGAATCCAAATAAAAAGAAGGTTATATATGCTCACTACACATGTGCTACAGGTGAGTCAATATGTCAGTTATTTATGAACTTTCTGGGAGGAAGAGAAGTACTGAGGTCATGAAAAGGTGTTTTGTTGCCAACCTCATCAAGCTGTATTCCCCTCTGATTATCTAACCGCTCTGTTCACGCAAATGCTGGTAATGATAACATGTGAATACCTTTCCATGTGAGGATCACTTTAAGATGGTTGACATAGGTCAGAGGAGGATGGAAGTGAATGTAACAGAAGTCCTCAAATACTGTTAACCCTATCATCCGTCTGTCTTCTTTTTGTGGCCTTATATAGTCAGTGTTATGGGTAAAGGTAAAGTTATCCCTGTAACAGGTCGTCTGAAGGCCCATAGAGTTGTGGGACATCAAGGATCCCACATGATTTAGACAGTCGGCTCACAGTTGGTGGTAAGGTGGTCAGCCTTACATTCCGTCTGCCCGTTACCCTCCCAGGAAAATTCCTGGTACTCATTTCTGCTAGAGGTCAAGTTGACTCCGGGGCTGTAGCACAGTTGGAAGGATTAGATAAATTGAAAAAAATCCAATGACCTCATCAGGACTCAAACCAGCGACCTTGCGGCTTGTAGCATAGTGCCTCAATGCTACTGCATTCATTTTCATATTGGAAGTAAATGACCATAACACAAAATAGTCTGTTCTTTGTATGGGATACATCACAGTATGAAATGAAAGAATGCTTGTATTGGTTACTTTCTATGGAAAAGCTATATGTGACAGTGGATTATATGACTTTTGTTGCCATTATTGAGTTTGATAGATGCTGCATGTATTGCTGAGGTCACATGGCATGAATAAGGGAAATGAGAACGAGCAAGGAAGCTGCACCAGCCTCTGTGTGAAGTGAATAGTAATACTAGTACATTGATGTGATTTCAGACACAGAGAATATGAGGTTTGTGTTCCTGGCAGTGAGAGACATGATATTGCAGATCAACCTAGAGGACTTCAACCTGGCATAGGAAACTTCTTTGTTATAAACTAATTTAAGTTCACTAAATGTGGCTGAGACCATTCCTTGGGCATCCGAAGTCTGTGTTCCAGATTTTTGACTGAGATGTCTCAAGCGTACATGGGAATTGCATGACAAGTTCCTGTAAGTTGGATTTGAGGTTCATGTGGCAGTGACTTCGGGGGTGTAATGCCAGGTAGTTAGGAGACACCCAGATGTTGCTCCAAAATACTAAGCTCTCATCAAACTATATTGCATTACAAACAAAGACGTCATTCTCTTTGTGTTCCCATAAGACATTTATGCTCGGGTCATGGAAAGAATGCACAAGAGCAGACGGAGTTGAGGTCTGCCATCTGCTTCTATGTACACTTCTCATCTGGCAACACCAACAACACTGAGAAATGAGCAAGCTAGTTTGAGCAGTATTACTGCTTTATTATATCCAGAAGGTGTCTGGTTCAGATCTGTTTTAGGACACTGATTATCCTAACTCAGATTTTTTTTTCTGGGGGTGGGGTTGTTACTCAGTCCCTAACTCCTCAGTGTAGCTATACATCCATTCCGCCATATGCCTTCGTGGCATAGGGCTTAATTAGTTAAACACAAGGACAACTTTACCTTACCTTCAGTCCATCTAAGCAGATAAGAGGATAGGACCTCAAATCAGGCTAAGATCATTTCTTTCCACATCCTGTCTTTTAGTGATCACTGTCCTTTTACGTGACATAATCTGAGCTATTGACAGTACTGTTAAGTAAGCCATAAATAAATGGACCTATTATGCGAAGGCAGAGATGAAAAAACAAGTCAAAACTGGCCGGAGTGGGGAAGGCATGTGGAAGGGAGGTAGCTAACTGCTGATCAGATGGGTGAGGGAAAAATCTGTGTTTATTCTTTTGCTGACCCAAGTATATTTTGTTCTTTTTTTTAAATTGAGGAACATAAGTAATGGGAAAGTAAGGTTACTCCATGTAATAGATTTTTAATCAAATCACTCAGTTTAATTACTTATAAACTAGCAAATTTTAAGCCTTTAGACATTTATATTTAAGATGGTCAGTGTCAGTTGAAGGAACTAGCAGGAATTAGGAAACTTGATGAATTTCGTATAAAAATATATTCTGTAAATAAATGCAGCCTGTGGCAATAATCACCATGAGGAACATTACATTGGGGATCACTCTGTAATGTGGTCCATGGGATCACTTCCACATGACATTACTGCTGTCTTGGATACAGGATAGCTTTTATACAATGAGATCTGAATTTTGGTGTGAAAAATGGCATATATTCATTATGCAATCACAATGAAAACATAGAAAAGGTGTATTATATTGAGATTCTTTAAATTTGCAAAATAAATTATGTACTCCTACCAGTTGGGGGCCCATGGTAGCGTAGTTGGTTGAGGGGCCATGCTACAAGCTGGAAGGTCACGGGTTCAAGTCCCAATGAGGTCATTGGATTTTTTTCAGTTGACCTAATCCTTTCAGCCGCACTAGGCCCTGGGGTTTACTCAGCCTCTAACATAAATGAGTACCAGGAATTAATTAATTAATTTTCCTGGGGAGTAAAGCACGGCCATCGCGTAAGGCTGACAACCTTACAGCCATCTTTGAGCCGATTGTCTAGATAATGTGGAACCCTCAATGTCTCACAACCCTATGGGCCTTCATGGCCTGGTACAAGGATAGCTTTACTTTTACTCCTCCCAATTATTATCAGAAACCTTACAGTATGCCTCTGTACATGCATTGAAAATGGTGGAAACATATTATAGAAGGTTAATTAATTCTGTCCAGAGTGACTGAAGAAGTTTTTTTTCCTTTTTAATATATTATCCTGAACATGTTTCAGTCTTATAGACCATCTTCAGAAGGATATCAATACAATTAGAAACCACTATTACAATATGTTTTGTGAGTATTAATATATACATACAATGTTATCATAATACAATGAGTACAAAATCTAATGTTTTTAACAACTACACTGGCTTGTACTAATTACTTACTTACACATGGAGCTGAGCCCTTCTGGAGGAGCCTCCAATTCTCCAGCTACTCAAGAATTCCCCAGCATTTTATGGAACCTGAAGGTTCATTACCATGTTCACAAGAGCCCTCCACTGGTCCCTATCCTGAGCCAGATCAGTCCAATCAATATCATCCCATCCTACCTCTCTAAGATCCATTTTAATATTGTCCACCCACCTACACCTTGGTCTTCCCAGTGGTCTCTTTCCTTTTGGCTTTCCCACCAATATCCTATACGCATTCCTCGTCTCCCCCATTCATGCTACATGCCTTGCCCACCTCGTCGACTTGATCATTCTAATTATACTTGGAAAAGAGTATGAATTATGAAGCTCCTCATTATGCGGTTTTCTCCAACCTCCTGTCACTTCGTCTCTCTTCGGCTTGTACTAATATGTTAAAATATTTAAATATTACAATTAGTATGTTCATGTCCTTTTTATTTCTTCTCTTTGAAGGAAACCAAGTGTCTACTGCCTTGTGGTTCTGTTGTTTGGAGAATAGGATTCTTTAATGTCATCCTGTTGATGTTCAAGGCGTGCTGTATTGTTATACTGAAACATGTTCAGGATAAAGTATTGTAAAGGAGAAGAAATCTTTATCAGTCATGCTGGACAGAATTAATTAACCTTTTATAATATTGTTAGCGTGATGGACCAGGATGAAACAAATCAAACTTATCAAAGCTGGTCAAGCTAAACAGATGAAAACATACATTAAAAATTAAGGACTGGTAACAGAGGCCAATATTTTAACTAATGTGTTACATTGAAATGATCTATTTTCAGGTAATTTTATTTCACACTAGCTGTACCCGGCCACGCGTTGCTGTGGCTCAGTCTAACGAAATATTTCAATTCAAACGCAGATCAATCGACACAGCTCAATCCCACCGCCAGTTATACTGAAAAATAAGGAAAACAGTTAAGAAAACGGAATGAAAAACAATGAAAAATAAACTATACTCACGAAATGAACGCTATGGTAAATGACACAGCCCATTTCCAACGCAATGTCACACGAAATAATTAAATCAAAATGAAAATAAATTGAAACTGTTTATATTCAGCGGTAGCTATCCCAAGACTGACTCCTTCAGCGGTTACTTCCAGACACTCTTCTGTGTCCCTCGGCATCTGCGCCAAGACTGACTGCTTCTTGTCCGAGCTGGACTATTTATACCTTGGCGGATGCTCTACAGTGAGCCTTCTGTTGTCTATCACCGGGGAAACGCTGCCAGAGTCGAATCCAAAACTCTGAGTGCAAACTGAGGATCTCTACTGTGATTTCACTCGGAATCTCTTGTGATACTTGTGACCTCGTGATACTCGAGACACTCATGATACTGAAGAGTCGCTGGAGCTACACTCTCTTATGCATATAGCCAGTGTTCGGACGGGATGCGGAATACCTTATCGAAGAGTTAGTTTCATCTGTTGCTTAGGAAATGCTAGCACAGAACACCTTGTAGATGTGTTTGGTTTCATCCGTTGTTATGCAACGGAACCTCTTATCCTCTCATCTCCAGGGAAATGCGTTTGTTGTTTCGGCAATTCCTATGCAACAGCCCACTGTTATTGCATTTCCATGGAAGTATACTTTCCGGTTTCATCCGTTGTTACACAACGGAACCTCTTATCCTTTAATCTCCGGGGAAACGTGTTTGTTGTTTTGGCAATTCCTATGCAACTGTTATTGCGTTTCCATGGAAGTATACTTTCCGGATTCACGCGTGGCCGGGTACAGCTAGTAGGTATATAAAAATGCGCATATTCGAATGCAACGTTGTCTCAAAATTTCGAAGCAATCGGTGAAGAACTTTCGGAGATTTTCGAGGGGTAACAAACGAACATTTACATTTTTATTTATATAGATTTTAGGTCAAAACACAGCGATCATGTAAATAATATTTTGAGACTTTCTTTGAAGAAAACACACCATATCTCTGGTGCTTGCATCAGTAACTGATGTGAAAGGAATTGTTTCTTGTGAGAAAAATATGACATCCAGGCATATATTTTGTGGGAAAAGTGCTGTATTATTGATAGTTAAGGTTAGTGGTTGGAGTTGAGCAATAAAAATTATATTACAATTGTTGAATAATGCGTAAAAGCATTTACATATCAATATTTTACTGCAAGTGATGGAAATTAATGAAATGTGTATTTAAAGAAGAACTTTTCTTATGGGGAGTATAAGAAGCTAAGGTCACAACACTACTTTGCATAATTAATTCAAAACTTACTAATTTATAATGCTAATTGGCATTGGAGTTATTAAATTACTGTAATAAGTTATTTGAAATTATACAAAGTATTATTATATAAATGAAACACAAACAGATGCAACCAATGAAAATAAAGTATTATTAAACCATGTAATATTTGAGGTTCTCACAGCAGTGGTTTTGAAGAGTTCTGTCTTCTGGGATATAATGCTATGTAGTCCGTTGAAGGTCACCAGTGTTTCAGAGGAACATATTGCCTCCATCTTCAGGTTTGAAGAAGAAGCCAAGCAAGAAACTAGCATGAAGCAGTTAGATCTGCTTGCATCTTCAAACCTGAAGATGGAGGCAATATGTTCCTCTGAAACACTGGTGACCTTCAACGGACTACATAGCATTATATCCCAGAAGACAGAACTCTTCAGAACCGCAGCATTTCAGAAATTGGTTCTGTTTCCATGTTCATTTGAACACTGTATGGAAGAGTACCCATTCTGTTGACCCCTTCAGTAGAAGTATATTAGACACACATAGTTTGAAAGTATTGCCACTGAGGGACCAAACAGAGTAGGTTTTCTTTTATACCCTGTTGACATGAAACTGGAAACAACTAGTTTTAATGAACCCAGATGATGGGCAAAATACAAACTACAAAGGTAAGCAAGTTTTAAGTTGTCTAATTGACAAAGACAAGGGAAAGAAAATATAAACAATATTTTGAGTGGTGATATGTACTGTGTGATGAGATACATTTCATGTGCTTAGCTGTGCTTGATATATCATTTCAGCATTAAATTAACTGAACAAAAATTGTGAGGTACAAGATAGATGCATGCTTACTTTACCAAGTTCCTCAGTATAGCAGAGCCGGTTATAGTGGGACTCCAATGTATTAACACAAGTTACATATAAGGAGCCTGATGTCCTTGTGGCATTTAAACATTTGTTTGAGAGGAACAAATATATGAATTATTGCAGTTTTCTGCAAATAATGCAAAAATAAACAGTATTCTTTTGAGTGAAGAATCTGCTGCTTCTATATGTTGTCAAGATTTTCACTTAGCATATGGATCTTCATTTTCTAGAGTCCTAATTTTTATTAAGTCTACTGGGTGCATGACATTTTTACTTTATATTGCTCATTCAGTGCCCTTTCTTAGGCACTGATGTTCATTTGATTTCTTGCTGCATGTGATTTTAATGTACATTTTCTTTACTTGTTGCTCAAGACTGAAATTATGTGGCTTCCATTTTGAAACAGAGGTGTGATAACTATTGGTAATTGTAACTGTCTCATTTATTTATTTGAAAAGAAACCAATTCCATCTGTACAAACAATATTATAAAAAAAATGGCTGTGCTTGCATCTTTCCATAACGTGAGCTGTCTTAAGAGGTTTCCAGTGAGTTACCATATATGTTTTAAGTGATAAGGCCAGTCAGACAACATACATAATTTAGGTGGCTGCCTCAGTTGTCATATTTTAAGCTGTAAGGGCGCGATAATGAACTGAAAGTGATGAAGAAAAATATTTTTAGTTTTTGTTCTATAGGCTTACAATAAAAATTTAAGATCATTATCAGGGTAACTGTTCATGAAACTTCCTCTATCTGTTCTGTTGTATACACAGTGACAGTGAGGTTATGTAGTTATTAGGCTATGCAAAATTATTATTACC